ATATATTTAAAATAAACTGAATATAATTACTTTAAAAAAACCTGCAACAATAATAAGAAAATCTAAAAAATGAATAAAATAATTCATCTCAAAAATTGTTTGATCCGATTTGTAAAACAATCTATTTTAGTATAATTATAGACTTTCTAAAATAATATAATGCTAATTATACATTTACAATGTTTTTATAAGAGAAAAATATATCAATTTAAAATATTTAAACTAAAGATTAAATATTAAAAAATTTAAATATTTTTGATTAACAGAATTTAAATATAGATATACCAGTTATAGAAATGTTAATTTAAAATATTTAATAAAAGCCAAGAAATGAATAAAAATAAACTTAAACATTTTATATTGAATAGATCGAATAATTATAAGAATGTAAAAATAATTAATTTATTTTACAGATTAAAAAAGATTTACAAGATACTTATAAATAAGAGCTTTAGCAATAAATACAAATTTTAAAATAAAGTTTTATTTAGCAAGTTAAAAATGAGGAATAGTTAAAATATGAATAAAAATTGAAAGAAAAGTAAATTGAATTTTAAAAGAATTATGAGAAATAATTAGAAAAAATAAATATAAAAGAAAAAGATATATTGGAATAAATTAAAAAATAAGTAGAATAATTAGAAAAATAAAAATATACTTATTAAGAAAAACATTTGTAAGAATTGAATAAAATTAAGGAAAAATAAATTCAACTTGATAAATATACAATTTCAGAAACAAAGCACATTGATGAAGAAAAAGAAAGAATTAAATATGTAGAAGATTTATTAAGAACCAAAATAAAAGAGTATGAAAATGCAAAAGAAAACTTAAATACTAGGTAAAACTATAAAATATTTATAAAAATAAATTTTAACTATAAATTATTTAAAAAAATAAATTTTTAGAATTTAATATGATGTTAATAAGAAACTATAGCTAATAAAAAGGGAATAAATATAAAATGAGTCGAAATAAAAAGTAATATAGTCGTAGCAAAAAGAAGAATAAGATTTTATTAATTAATAAAAATATATTCGAAAAATCTTGAAACTCAAAACATATATTTAAAAAGTCAAAATGATTATTTAAATTAAGAAATAAAAGTAATAAAATATTTTTAAATTTCAAATAATTACTTTACTATAAGATTGTAGAAAAAAAAGTTTAAGAACAAGAAAATGAAATTGTTAGTTTAAGAAACTAAATAATAAAGTATAAAGAAGAAAAAGATGCATTAAATGAAAGATTTAGTATTTATTTTTTATTAACATTTAATATTATATAAATAATTAGGTTTTTAGCTTTAAAAAAATTAAGAATTAGAATAAAAAACAAATGAAATACAGAGAGAATTAAATTTAAAAATTTAATCATTAAAAGAAACTAAATATGAACTCCAGTAAATTGATTTCTAATATCGAAAAGATATGTAGTAAAACGAAATAAAAAATATTGAAACTGAAAACACTATCAAATAATAAATATATATATGTTAATAGTAATATCTATTTGAAATTAACAAATTAAAATAAGATCTAAAATAATAATAAAAAATTAATAATTAATTAGAATTAGAAAATATAAATTTAAGATAATTAAATAAAATTAAGAAATTATAAAATATAAATTTAAAAATTGAAAATGATAAAATTTGATTATATATATTTTTTTGTTAACTCAGTGAAAATTTTTTTTATATTAAATAATTTATATATCTTGTAAGTATTTTTTATCAAACGCATTGTATTTTTATTTTCAAATTACAAGAATAACATTCTACAACAATATTTTATTTTTACTTTTTAATATTTAGTTTTTTTTTCAATTAAAATTTAATTAAATATATATATATATATACCTATTATTATTGAATTTAAACTAAGTTTATACTTTCACATTATTCACACTCATATTCATATGTTTAGATTTTAGAGTCTATTTAAATTTCGTCAAAAAGTTAACCTGTATTTTATTTCATATTATATTCTAAAATAAATAAATAAATAAGCATTATTATATTTCATGATATTTACAAAAAAGTAAAATATCATATTCTCTTCTTTTTTCTTCATCTATTAAAATTTTGTATGCATTTATTATATCTTTTGAGTTTTATGTGCATTAACTAATTATTAATTATAAATAAATAATATTCAATATATGAAAATAAATAATAACTTATATTATTTATCAGGATGTTCTTGAATTATTTTTTATTTAAAACTTTTCTTTATTTACTAATTAGTTGCATTTTAATCAACTTCTAATATTTCATAATGATTCATTAATCTAAAGTTTGTAATATTACTATAAAATATTAATTAATAAATAAATATAAAAATATATATTAAAAAAATATAATAATTAATTTTAATTGCATATAAAAATTAAATTATTATAATTTTGTTTTAAATAGAAAACTCGAATTTCTTTTTTTATTATAAATATTCCTATATTAATTAAAACATATATAAAAATAATTTATTTACTAAAATAAAATATTGATATGTATGCAGATGGATTTATAGATTTTTCAAACGATTTGAATTGCTAGTTAAAAGAAGACTATACTTAATATTGTTTATTTATAAAACCTTAAGACGGATAAAGTAATTTACAATAAGAAAATTGTTCATTTGAATAAAATGGATAATATATATTTATTGAAGCATTTCATCCTAAATACCAAGAAACTCATGATTTTTTAATTAAAATAGCTGAACCAGTAAATAAACCAAAGTTTATTCATGTTTATAAAATGACATTATTTTCTATGTACACAGCTATGAGTTTAGATTTAACTGCAAAGATTATTTAAAAAAAATTATTAGAATACTCAAAAAATAAAAAACTTCCTGAATCAACAATAAACTATATTGAATAGCATACTAATAAATTTGGATGCGCTTTTTTATATATGTATGAATAAAATTATTATTTAAAAATAGATTAAAAAGAACTAAACAATGCTATACCAGAAGTAAAAATAACCTAATAAATAAAAATATATATTTTTGATTTTTATTTATTAAAATTTATAAATTTTTAAAATTATAGCATTAAAGTCTTATGGAATAAGTTGATTATTTTCCATAATAAAATGAAAATGAAAATAGTATTTTAAATATTATATTAACAAAAATATAAAATATTTTTAAGACAATTTAAATTAGATATAAGAATTTATCAGTGAAGATAAAAATGATATAGAATTAAATTCGAAAAAATGGAATTTCAAAAAGTTTAGAATAATTTAAAATGAAAATTTATTTTAAGTTACAAAAAAAATTATTGATAAACATATTCCATTAATAAATGAGTATGACTTTGAAAATGACAAATTAAAAAAATTGAATATTTCTCTTAAATAAATAACTTAACCTCGAATTTATTAACAAAAAGCTTTAGAGAATATTTTTATCTCTGGAAAAGCAAGAAGTGGAATTATTGTTTTACCATGTGGTGCTGGCAAAACTTTATTAGGAATTATAGTTGCTGAAAAAATAAAAAGAAGTACTTTAGTTATTTGTGATATTGATACTGCTACAAAACAATGGAAAACTGAATTTTTAAGATGGACAAACATAAAAGAAGATAAAATAGTTATAAGAACTGGATAAAGGAAAGATGAAATTCCTTAAAATGGAGAGCCATTTATTTTAATTACTACTTATAAATAGTTAACAAGTGTAATGAACAGAGTTAATAATTAGAAAAAAAATAATATAAATAGAACTTAATATGATGAAATGGATAGAGATGTTACAGATATTATCCATAATTAAGTAATAATATATATAATTTTAATTTATTCATGCATATTTATATAGTAATGGGGTTTATGTTTAGCTGACGAAACCTAAATGTCGGCAGCAGAAACTTATAGAGAAATATTTAAGTAATTTAAATTCAAAATGAAAATTGGACTAACAGCAACACCATACAGAGAAGATAATAGAATTACTGATTTATTTCATATGATAGGTCCAAAATTATATGAAGTTAATATTTCTGAACTTATTTAAGATGGTCATTTAGCAAAACCTTATTGCGTAGTATTTAGAGTTAAAATGGCAGAAAAAGCTAAATAATTATTATAAGAAGTAAATAAAAAAAAATATATTTAAATAAAAAATAAAAGAAACCTTAGTGCGATGTAGTAGCATATACTGGAAATTAAAAAAAATTCAAACTTTTAGCTTACTTAATTAAGCTTCATGAAATTAGAGGTGACAAAATTTTAGTATTTTGCGATTCTATTGCTGTTTTGGAAGAATTTTCTAAAAGACTTTGTTACCCTGTAATCTGCGGAAATGTAAAGAAATTAGATGAAAAACTTGCATGGCTAGAAATGTTTAGAAAAGGGCATATTAATACATTATTTTTAAGTAGGGTAGGAGATACTGCTTTAGATTTACCAAGTGCTAATGTATTAATTTAGATTGGCTTTCATTTCGGGTCGAGAAAACAAGAAGTTTAAAGATTAGGAAGAATCATGAGAAGGAAAGAAGGTTAAAAAGGTGAATATAATGCTTATTTTTATACTATAATTAGTAAAGATACAAGATAAGCTCAAATTTATTATCATAGGCAAAAATGCTTGGTTGATCTTGGATTGGATTTCGAAGTTATTGATGAAGATAAGCTTGAATACGATAATGATATATTAGATTAAATAACACTTAATTTATGTATGCTAATGGAATAGGAAGATGCATATATGAGATAAGATGTAAACGATGATTGATTATATATTAATTAAATAATTATTAAAAAGAATTTATATATTAAAAAAAATTACAAATATTAATATAAATTATTATTTTTAAAAGCAATTATGAAAAATATATATATATATATAATAATTATTTTAATAAATTATATAGCATAAAAATTTTTAAAATTGAGTAATAAAATAAATATAGTATATAAATTATAAAATATTTTTTTATAATATAAATAAATGTAACAAAAATATTTATAGATAAAAATTAAAATTAGTTAAAATAATAAATAATAATAAAATATTAAATGTTAAAAGGAATTTATAAATAAAAAAAAAAAATTAAAAAATATAAAAAATATATCAAATAATATTTAAAAAAAAAATATAAAAAAATAATTTAAGATATTAATTTTTTATTAATATGAAATATAAAATTGTAATATATTTTATAAAAAGAATATTTGTAATAAAAATTTAATTAACAGTAAAAAATTTAAAGATATGATTATAATTAAAAAAAAAAAAATTAATTTAAAATAATATATTAAACATTTTATTTAAATAATAAAGATAAAGATTTTTTTTTAATTTGATAATTTATATATAAATATTATTATTTTTTTATTTATTTAAAATTTATTTATATAATTATTTATTTATTTATTTATTTATTTATTTATTTCATTTATATATCTAGTAAAATAAAAGTAATTATTTATCTTATAAACTATAATTAAAATAATAAATACAAAAATAATTATAAAGCAAAGATAAGACTATAGAATATATGAATATTAATCATTTATTAGCTAATAAATAAGATATTTAATAAGATTTTTTATAATATTCTATTATTTAAAGTTTTGAACAAAATTAACAATAAAATAAACTAAAAAAACTTGAAAATATAATTTTTATTAAAGAAAATCTTTAAAAAATACCTTAATTAGATGAATAATTAAATGATAAAAATAATTATGATAAATATTTAATGCATTAAGAAACTATAAATTAATTGAATAATAATAAAGAAAATTATATAAAATGTAAGAGTAAATAATAAATTAAAAATTAAAATGATACATTGACTTTTATATTAAATTAAACTTTAGAAAATAAAAAAAACAAATTAAATTCAATTAGAGATGATTTTTAATAAATGAAATAATTAAATATGATTTAAAATGAAAAATGTTAAAAAAATATATTATAAGAAAATAAATTAGGAAAGATATATTTAATAAATTAAGATAAAAATAAAATTAATAATTAGTAAAATGATAAATATTATTTTAAAAATAATGTAAAAATTCCTTAAATAAATTAAATTAAATAAAAATAATTATTTGAAAATACAAGAAAATTCAATGATTAGGAATATATAAGAAGACAAAGTGAATATATTAGAGTAAGAAACATTAGTAATAATTTATAGGAGATTGGATATAAATAAAACAAAACTTAAGATAAATGTTTGAAAGATATTTTACAAATGAAGGAAGATATTTAGAATATCTTAAAAGAAAACGAAAATTTATAAAATGAATTAAAAAATAAATTATGAAAAATAAATTAAAAAAACATAATTAAACTAATTAAAAATTTATGTTAAAATAAATTTTAATTTGAATTATTTTTAATAAAATTAATAAGTAAAAATTCTTTTTTAATATATGATTTTAAAATTAAAAGAAAAAAATAATAATTTTCAAATGATGTCAATAAAATAAAAACATCTTTATATAAATATTATAGATTATAATATATAAGATATTTCCGACTTTTTTATTAAAAAAAATTAAATGTAGTTTTTATTTAATAATTTTTTATGTTTGAGTTGTATTGATATTGACAAACTTATATTTAGTATTTATTTTATTATTAAAAAAATACGTATATATAATCTGAAATAATTTCTAGTAAGTACAAATTTATTTTAATACATATTAATAAATATAATTTGAATCTCATCATTAATATTAATATATTTAAATTTAAAAAAAACATAAAATAAGGACAATAATTATATATAAAATCAATTCATAACTTAGTATCATCAATTCTATCAACCAAATTTGAATCTGCTGAATTATTAGATTTATTTAAATCAAATACATCCTTATCGGTCATATTATAATTCTTACAATTTTAAGGCGCAAATTAGCTAGTATTATAAGTATTCGTATTAAATCCAACTACATTATTATTATTACTATTAATATTATTACTTATTACTCCATTATTATTTGAAGGACCAGGTCCTGCGATTTTTAAATACTTAATAGGACTAATGATTTCATCTTATTGACTTTTAGCATTAAACAAATAATTATTATTGATAACTTTTGAATAAATTTCCATTCGTTAATCTTCACTTTGAAAATTTAAAATTTCTTATTTTAATTATTCTAATCCTTCATAATGTTAAAAAGAGTCGATATTAACATTATTTCCTTATATGTCCTTTACAGATACTTTTCCTTCATCGTCTATATTTAATAATTATTCAGGAGTAGTGTAAAGTATTGTCCTTATATATTTTTTTATGTCCAATACATTATTTTAACTAGGAGATATCTAGTCTAAAAATTAATCTATATCTTTTAATTTCAAAAAGTAATAATCTCGCTCTTCTCTTAGTTTTTCCATTTAAAATTCCCTTTAGATTTTGTTATTTTCCCCATATTCTTAATCTATTGATATATTTGATATAGAATTTTAACTTTTGGCGATATCTGCTGCCTTTATATATTATGTTTGCGCTTTTAAATATGTGGAATTTTTTGATTATGTTGTATTTCTCTAAGATGAATTTGCACTAGTATCTAAATTTTAAGAATATGAGTATGCTGTTTGATATATTTTATCGTCTTAATTTGGCTAATAACCTCCTCTTCGGGCTACAGAATCGTATGGTTATTATTTGTAATGTTAATCAAAGTATTTTCTCATCCATTGGAGGAATTCTAAGTTATCTTAATATTTACATTTGATTAATTTGTTTATTTCTATTGGTTTTGTTATTTTTAATTTGTCAAATCCTTACTAAAGTAGTTTAAAATTTTAAACGTATTCATAATCATTCTTAGCTTTCCAATTAACTTTACTCACTTTTTTTTAGTTTTTATTTAAAAAAAATTAATGCAATTATTTTTTACTTTAAACTTTTCCTGGATGACATAAATCTAATAATTAACAAAAAACAGCTCCTGTACCGAAATTTTCTATTTTTTTTTCATTTAACTATGAAAATCGTTGATATATTTTTATTTATTATTTTATTATTTTTAATTTTTTTAATTATTATTTACTTTCAATGATTCATTTATCCAGTTTAACATATCGTTTCTACTTAAAAAAGTACTTTAGTTTGCAGTTGATACTATTGTTAAATCTGTCATTATATTATTTATTGTTTTTGCTTTTTTTGTTATTATTTATTTTTAGACTATGTAAAAATTTTGTTAAATATTAATATACAAATAAATTATTTATTTACTTTTTTAAATTAATTTAATATTTATTTTCTTGAATTTATAAAAATTAAAATAATTTCCAAATTTAAAAAAAAATAAGATTTTATACTTCAAAAAAAAAATATAAAAAGTACATGACTAATTTATAAAAATTAAACTCATATTTAAAAAATAAAATGAAATAAAATAAAATATATATCTATAATAATTATTTTTTTCATTCAGCTTTAATTTCAATTTTCGCTTTTCCTTTATTTAGCCTTTCTAATAGAATACAAGCTTTGCAAATGTCATTGGAAGATACAAATCCGCATTAAATACATTTCATTTTTTTAGGCATTTTGGCATTTATATTAATAGTGATTTATTCCGCAGAATGAATAATATCTATAATACTACTAGGTCTAACTTTTTCTAGATTTTTAATAAGCTCTCTTACATGACCTCTATAAGCATTAGGTGAATATATACATTCAGTTGAAAAATAAACTAACTTTTTATGATAAGCATATAAAACAATTTCTTTTTCATAAGTATATTTAAAAGGTTTTAATCTAGGGATATGGTCATCATCTACTTCTTATCCAGTTGAAATTTATACCTTTTTTTTTTTTTTTAATTTTTTTTTTTCATACACATCTTCCTAATCTAAAAAAGTCTCCTCTAGCCATATTCATAAGTATAGTTTCTGCTATATCATCTGCATTATGTCCAGTTAAAATTTTATCACATTTTAATAGTTACGCACCTTTTTTATATATTTTTATTAGAAAAAAGTAATAAAAAACCTCTATCTAATGATTAGCGTCTAAAAACACCACAAAATGTGCAATTATTATTTAGTCCTATTTGTTTTACTATTTCATCCATTGTCCACCCATATAATTCTTTATAGCTTAATATTTTCAAAGGTAAACCATATGTGTGTTAATTGTCTTTTACTGTTTCTAATGAATCATCTCTATAACCCGTTATTCCTTCATCAATACTTAATAATTACAAATCAAGTCCGTAATTATATTTTTTATTTAACAAATTCATTACATGTATTAATACTGTACTATCCTTTCCTCCTGAAGCTCCCATAGCTATTCTTTGACCCTTTTTAATTTTTTTAGAATAACTTTGAACTTAATTTTTATTACTTTTTAAAATAAATTGTTTGATATTATTGTATAGTGTATTTCTTCTTCAAATGCTTAAAAAAAACACTCTTAACATATTAATTTTCCTGTTTTTGGTCGAACTATAAAAGCTCTTTTTTCATTACATGTTTAACAGAATTTTACCATTTTTTTCAATTTTTTTTACTTTATATTAATATTAATATATTTTTTTTTAATATTTCTGTTGTATAAATATATTTATGTTTAGTTTTTTTTATATTTATACTTCGAAAAATTTAAAGAATATTATTACTTTAAAACAATTTATAAATATTTTAATGAGTCTACATTTTAGTTAGAAAAATGATAAAAATGCTTTTACAATTTATTTTATTTTCTAAAATAAAGAAAGCTATTATAAAATAAAAATATTAAACTAAAAATAAAATCAAACAAATATTTATAATACTGTGTTAGATTAGAATATAATGATAGAAATTGTAAATATTGTAAAAATATATATATTTATATATATATTTATATATATATTTTTATATATATATATATATATATATATATATATATATATATATATATGTATATATATCTTTATTTTTAATTTAATCAGAGTGGTGATGCACAGTTTATAATCATTAATTTCATAAGCCGTTGTATATATATCATCATTAAATTTAAAATAAATTTTATTAATTTTACAAAATTAATTAAATGCATATATATTTATAATTTTTTTTTTTTAGTTTATAATTATTGATATTATTATTAATTTTTAATGGGTTTTTTATAAAAAATTATATATTATTTTTAATCAAATATCTTTTTTTATAGTTAATTTAATATCTATTTATATTTATTTAATTAAAAAAAATATTTGAATTTAATTTGATTTGATTTGATTTATGTCATTTTTTATTGAGTTATGAATTGGTTTTTTAAAAAAATTATTCTTTTTAAAAAAGAATTATTTTAAATTAATTTCAGAAACATACAGCCTTAAGCATTTAATATATCAAAAATAAATAATAATCTTTTTTTTTGTTAGAATTTTTTTTTTTTTCATAACTTATTATTTTTTTTAAAGTAATTGTATACATAAGGATTTTCAATCAAAGCTTCAATATCAGTTAACATTACAAATTGTTTTGTTTAATTCAATTATATATTCATTTAATTATAAAATATTCTAGAAAATATATAGCATATGAGTATAGATAATAGTATTTAATATAATAGCATTATAAATTAACATTTTTTAATATATTCCAAATAATTAAAACTTTACAATTCAGTAAAATCTATAATTATTTCAATAATTTACGATAAATAAATTTAATATTAGTAAAACTCATCTATGTAGAATTATATATTTAATGTTTTGAGCTATTATTATAATTTTAATGGATCATCTTATTAGATTAAAATATATAAATCATCAAAGTACTTAAAGAAATTGTCTAATGATATTAAGAAACCTTATTTAAATATTTCTCCTTTAAAATTATTACATTCTTAGAAATTTATACTCATATTACTAGATATAAATTCAGGATATTTATTCAAAGTTTAACAAAGATTGTTTTCTAATAATTATATAAAAAAATTATTAAAAATATTTTAATCGTGTCTTTTTTATTTAAAAATAAAAATGAAAGATTTTTAATAAAATAATAAAACCTGGATTTTTATTTAGAAATTTTATAAATTTTATTAAAATTAATTTAAATTTATGAATTATTCGCAATTAATTACTAATATAATTTAAGATAATCTTTAATTTTATAATTAACTTTAATAGATGGATAAAATCTTAATAAAAGACAGAAATAATTTAGGGCTACAATCTCTTTAATTTATTTTTATATTTCATAGACTGCAGCTTTTTTTATTTATTTAAAAAATAAAAAAATATATTCCATTTTTATTATTTTTTTACAAACAATTTTAATATCAATATTTTTTTAATTTATATATTAATTAGTAATTATATTATTGACGATCGGCTATATGATAAGAAAGAATAAAATAATTAAAGAAATAATTAAGAAAGTTAGATTAAATTTACTAATATTTTTACTTTAATCATTTTTTTTATTTGATTTAATATTATTATTCTTTTTTTTTTTTAATTTATTCATGATTCCAATCTATTCATTAATAATATTTTTATAATAAAACTAGTCTATTTTGTGAATTTAACTTGATAAATATGAATGATTAAATGTATTAAACATTCTTAATAATTACTATTTTTTACTTTGAACCATATAATAAATAGGGAAAATAATAAAAACACACAAAGTAGAAATAGCAATAATAAAAAGCATAATTGTAGCTATATTTTATTATATTTATACTAGTTAATTTCTTGAATATTCTTCAATTTAATTATAAACTCCTTCTAATTCAACTGTCAAAAGGCTTTAGTTTTACAAAAAAATAGATTCCGACCTTTTAGTTAATCCCACATAAAATCTATATAAGAAAAGTAAAATAATAAACAATCCTTATTAAATATTACTAGGTACTTTATAAAAATAATACTAAGGAGGAAAATCTTCTAAAAGATTTAAATTTAAAGAAGTATTCATGAATTTTTAATCTGAATCAGTTTAATAAAGTTATGCGAAAAGAAAAGTTATTTTTTTTTTTCTTAAATAATCAAAAGTTTAGATATCAGCTGAAATAGTAGAAGAAACTGACAATTGTTTTACGATATCTTTGAAATTTAAATTCATAGTTTGTTTTATTTTTTAATTCATTTATATTATTTCTTATTCATTTTTTATTGTTTTGAAATCTTTATAGGTTATTAATATACTAAAATTTTAATCTCTTTGTATTGTAAACATTTATCCTAATATATTCATTGACCAATTTATATATTTAAAATCATTATAATAATCTACAAATATATTAGTAATTTAAAAATATTATACTAATGATATTGATATTATAGCTGATAAACTTATTAAACTAAATATATATACTGTTTGAAGAATTTTAAATGGTTTATAATTCAATATTAGATTTTCTAAGTTTTTTTTACTGAAGTTGATGTTGATTTTATTGAATGTGTTGATGAAGGTGCGTTTAAATCATCAACATCATTTTAGTCTTGTTCGAATTCTTATGATAACTTTTCACTATTTATTGTATCTATTGATCTTTAAGATAAATTGTATTGATTAGTTCTTTATAAATAGGCATCTATTTTTAATATTTTTTTTTTATTAATTTTTTTTTTTTTACCATTTGACATTTCTGAAGTATTCATAAATGCTTGAAAATTGCCGCTCATATTATCTTCGTTTTTAGAATTCTTTAAAATTTGGCTTTTTTCGTTTATATTGCTGTTTTCTAAATTTGATATTAAGCTTTATTTTAAAGAAAAACCATCTACTTATAATGTTTTTTATTAATTTTAAGTATAAGATTAGTTAAAGTAATTTCTTTTGTGGGTAGATTAGCTTTTATAGATAAGTTCTGCATTTTTTACTAACTCTTTTTTTACTGCTAAATATATGCAATGGTTTTAATGAGCAGAAGATGATTATTATTTATAAGAGTTTTAAAGCATTTTTTCTTAAAGGGTAATCTTTTGAAATATTAAAGAACTTTTTAATAATGGGTTTATTTATTAAATATTTATAATTTCAATATAATAGATATTTGATAAGTATTTTCCTTTTGCTTTTTTCAAATTAAATTATGTTTGAAAGAAATTAAATGTAAAATGAAAATCAGCAAATTTTTTAAGTTTTTATGATTATTAGGCATATTAAGTAATTTCTTCTTTAAATTCTTAATTTGCATTTATTTCTTCCTATGTTTTTTATATCACTAATATATATGAAATTCCTTATAAGGAGTTTTTGGTTTATTCCTTTATATATTTTTAATATTTTTATATATATTTATTTACATTTTTTTAAATATGGAACTATTTTAAAAATGGAAAATAGGGAAGTAAATTTAGATTTTATAATTCATTAAATTAATAGAAAACTTTCTTATGAATATTTTCAGTAATTGAAATAATTTAAAATGTTTAAGAATTATACATAATATACTAATTTTATTAATTAACTTTTTTAATATAACATACAATTCCAAAATCATTCAAAGATTGAATAAAATTAATTTTTAAATCAATTTGAATAGGAAAAATATGTTTGTCTTATGTAAATCCAAACAATAGTTTTTTATTAATATTTTATTTAGTATAATAATATTAAAAGAAATTCTAAATATATTTATTGTGTATATTTTAAAAAGGAGGAGGCATTAATTTTTCTATTTTTTAACTAATAATTTCTTAATCTTTCATCATAAAAATTTTTTTAAAATTCGAAGAAACTAAATTTATTATATGTATATTTTTTTTTTGTAAAGAAACAAATATTACACATGAGTTATCCCCAACTAAATTGTATTTTTGTACATTCATTTTAATATCGATTTTTTGTTAATTCGATAATTTTAAATCTAAGTTACTAAATTATAATAATTCTTTATACTTATATTAAATTTAATAAAACTCATTATTGTCTTGTTTCATATTCCTAATTTTATTAACATTATTTATTATTTATTATCTTAAATTTATAAATTTAATTAGATTTTTTTGTAATTCATACAAATTTAAATGCTTTTCTTTCATCATTTTTAAACAAAACAACCTTATTTGAATAGCTTTATTTAGATACTGATTTGTTTTTTAAACTAAATAATCATATTCGAATACAACTTTATATTTTTCATTAAAAATTTCATGCTAGTTTTGGCTTTTTAGAGTTTAGCTTTTTAGAGTTTATAAAATTTACATAAAATTATATTCTAAAGTAAAAAATATTTGTTTTTGTTTAAATGTCTAATTTTGCTTTGATTATAGAAGTCTTATATAAAAAAGTTTGTAGTTTTAGCATATTTATTGAATAAAAATAAGATTGAAAACTGTTTTTTCAAACGAATCTTTCAATAAATTATATACATAATCTAACTTTTTTATAATATATAGGTTTTGATCATTATTTTCTCCACAAAAAAAATTTTAGTCTACATAATCATTTTTATTTATAATGTTAGTTTTAGTTTTTAATTTGTTAAATTTTTTAATGTTTTTAATATTATCTTCCTAATTATGTAAATAAATGGGACTTTTTAAGCATAATGTTTTTATAATTGATTAATTATATTATTATTAATTTTATTTAAATAAAAAATTTCTTTAGAATTCATCAAGATCATAAATATTAATATTTTTAATTAAGTTTATATTATTAGAGTTTAAAATATCAAACATTTAAAGAATTTACTCATCATACATTTAATTAAATAATTTACAAATTTAAAAATTAAAAGGAATTAAAACAAGAAGTATAATTTATAATAATTTTAATTCTGAATTTATATTTATTATTATACTCAAAAATAAAAACAATTAGAAAAAATAAATACTTAAAAATAATTCTAAAGTTTTCATTTATTTTTAATATGATTATTTAAAAGTATAATAGTATATACTTTCTACAAAATAATAAAATAAATAAACGTACATATTAATGTTATTATTTTCTATGCAGACTAAAAATATGCAAAATATTTGTATTCCAAATAAATATAATTACTAATTAAAGTATTTTTTCGCTAAATAATCTTTCGCTGTTATTAAATAGTTAAATTAATTATATATGCATATAAATCCTTTTTATTTTTTTATTTTTTTGATATTTAAAAATGGTATACCTATAATTAATGTCAACATACTATTGATATAACCTGGAATAGAAAAGGATTAAAAAGAATATCTTAAAGAAAAATCAAAGAAAATATAGTAGTATATTTAAAAGAAAAAAGAAAATATATTTTAAAATAATTGTTCAACTTTATAAGCTTCAATAAACTATTTTTAAATAAAATTTTATTTTTTGTATTACTTGTATGTTTTATAATAGAATAATAAGAATTAGATAATAAGATAAATTATAAGCAAACAATTAAAAGCTAAAAATAAATAAATAATATTTTCAGGACTCAAAAAATGCTCATAAATTTATTCAAGAGTAATTATTATGTCAATATTATTTAAATTATTAAATTTTTATTTTATGCCTTCTGTAAACTATAAAGAGAAAATTTAGTAGTTTCTAAAAACTAATAAAAATGTTGAAAAATGTTTTCCTCTTTCAAATTTATGAAGAATTTTAATTAATTATTTAATCAAAAATTCTAAAAAAATATATTACAATTATAATAAGAATTTCATTTTACCTTATATTAATTTTAAAAAATAATCAGAAAAAAAAAAAAAATTAATATTTATAATTTTTTTTATTGATATTTATTTTTAAATATTATTTAAAAGTGACTTTTTTTATTTAATTATTAAATCAATTTTAAAAAATGGAAAAAATTTAACTTAAATTTAAAAATATTTAATTTTAATAAATAAATTTTAATTTATAAATTATTATCAGATTTAAGATTAATAATAATATTTTAATTATTAATCTTTAATTTTAATATTAACTTAATAAATCTAAATTGCATAAATCAAATAAAAATATTTATTTATAGAAAATACAAAAAATAAAATAAAAACATAAATAGTATAAACAAAACTAAAATATATTAAATTTGAAAAAAATCTTCAAATAATTTAACTTTCTTAGATATTTTTTAACTTAATCCTCTTAATAACATTAGTACTACTTCTTTTAGTTTTAACCTAATATTAAAGTGCATCTTTTTTATATCTAAATATACTATTTCTTTCTTCAAGTCCTACATTCTCTGGTAAATAAATAAAAAATTTAGCTTTTCCTTACTCAAAATAAGATTTAAAACTAATCCATCCCAATCCAAAAATATCCAAATCGACTTGACATTTACCATCTTTTTAAAACTATATTTCAACTTCATGTTTTTTAAAAATAACCTAAGTAAAATCTGCTGCAAGAACAGGAGACAAAATGTCATTATATTATTTAATAAAAACTTCATTTCCTTTATAACTTTTGGTCACATGAAATGATATATTGTGGTTCATAAAAGCTATAATATTACAAAAAAGGCCTTCAAGATGATCTATCCTGACCAAGCCTCCAATAAAAAGAGTAAGGTCAGGTCCAAAATGTATTTTTTTTGGTTTTATTTCTCGATCTACGACAATTGTTTTTACATGGTTTTTATTTTCGAAGTAATAAGTCATTTAGCGTATGTTTGGAATTCCTGGAGTATCATATATGTTTGTACCCAAATTTTTATTTTTGCATTTTATAAAGGAAACAGTTGTACCAGGAATTGAACTTACAGTTAATTCTTGGACTTAATCTTCATATTTTAATTCGTTCTCTTCTAAATATTCTTCATTAAGGAGTTTTTTAATCATTTATTTATCGACATCGTTAATATTTTATGGGGAATTTTATGTATTTGAGGAACTTTTGGACATTTAATTTATTTTATTTATTAATGAAGATTTTCCTGTATTTGCGAATCCGACTACGTAATATTATTTCGAATACCTAAATGTTTTATCTTATAAGGCGTTGTCTCTGTTATTGTGAATGTATTTGATTATTTTTTTAAGGCCTTCACCTGTTTCTGAACTTACAAGAAATATTTCCTCTATAAGAGAATTTGTGTTAATTTCTTAGAATATTTTTTCTTTTATTATATACTTTATTAAGTTCTGTTGGATACACTAATGTGGTAAAACATCTATTTTGTTTACTATTATAATTACTTTTTGTTATTATATTAAGCATTCTTTTATTAAATCAATACTTAGTGTACCACTTATGTCTGTACAGTCTATTACGTGCAGTATTATGGAATGGCGTTTAGTTTCTTAAATAAGTTTTTCAATGTTTTTTTTAAATTAAATTAATTGGGTTTTATTATTTATTATTCATCAGATTGGTTTTTTGGGGAAGATTTTATAAAGTCCTCTTGTTTATGTTTTAAATTGTAACATCTTTAACACATTATCTAGGTATTTTCTTAAAATTTTGATTCTTGCTATTCTGCTTTCTATTCGTAATTTTCGATTTCTTAAAGGATTTCTATATCGTCTACTTCTAGTAGTTGTTTGCCTTTTTTATTATCAATATTATCATAAAGGTTCGCTTTTAATAAATATTCATTTAATTTATCGTTTTAGTATTTTTTAATATATCTCTCTTTTTTTCCTTCCTTATATGTTTCAATTGTTATATAACCCGCTTTTTCTATATTTTCTGTTTGAAATTTAGCTCCACAACCTTTGCATGAGCATTTTTAGATAAGATTTTCGAAGTTTTCATCTATTTTTAATTGCTTTAAGATATCGTTTGTTTCATATTCAACTTGTTTTTGAATGTTTGGAGATTTTGAAAAATTATATTTGGGAATTTAGTTATTTGCAATTATTCTTAATTATTTAGCATATGATGAAATTTTTAGTTTTTATATTAACGTATTGGTGTGCTTTATCAAGTTTTTGAATAACATTATTTTTATTTTTAATTTTATATCTTTATTATTTTTTTTAAATATAAATCTTTTAAAAATGTATTTAATTAATATATATATATATATATATATATATATATATATATATATATATATATATATATATATATTAATATTTATAATATTTATTTGTTCTTTTATTAATATTTAATTATTTTTAGAAATTGCTCATTTATAAAATTGTTAATTTAATTTCCATTTTACTATTTTTTCTAAAATATCAATTATTATAATTATTATTATTATTAACATTTTTATATCCATTAATTATAGAATTGTAAGATTAATATTGTTATTAATTTTAATTTTTTCCTCCTATTAAAGCATTTGCACTTAATAATCTTGGTTTCATAACGTAATTTATAGGGTTATATTATTATTATTATTATTGCTACATTTTATTATCAAAAATGCAATTATTAGCTGTTATTTTAGCATCGTTATTATTACTATAAATATTTTTTTTTTTATTAATATTTAAATTGTTTGTTTTATATATATTATTAATTCCTGCAGGTGTGTTTTTTTCGATATTTTTGCTGATTAGTTAAGGAGAGCCTATTTAGTTAATTTAAGCTTTTCTATAAATGTTATTTAGCTAATATCTGTTTAGTAATTAAATATTATTTTACTAATCCTGATTCAGCCTTGCTTAATAATAAGGATTTGAAGATTAAACTCTTTGTTATTTAATAATTATTTCAGGTTAATAACCTTATTTATTATTTAAATTGGATACAATTTAGTGCATTTGACTATTCTTCAAAGTTATTTAAGGTAGAACATTTTTTTTATCATTATTTTTATTATTAATATTAGAACTATATATATGAGAATATTTTAATTTTTAATCATTAACTATTTCTCTCATTTAAGAGCTCTATATTTTATTATTTTAATTAATATTTGAAGGACTGGCTATAAAATTAACATTATTTAAGTTGTTAGTGTATATGTTATTAACAATATTGTTATTTATATTATTATTTACAATTTTATTTATATTCATATTTACTCCATTTTTATTATTATATTATTAATTATTTTTTTCTTATAAATCATTTACATTCATATTATTTTTTCTTATATTTTTATTAATTCTATTTTACAAATTTATTTCTTTGGATTAACCATCTCCGTTAATATTTGTAATACCATAATATTTATTTGGGCTTACATAATTTTTTGCTTATTACTATAATTAAATTTATAGAGCTGGATTTTCTATTTTTGGTTTAAATAATTTTTGAGGAATTTGTAAAGGATTATTATTTGCTTTTAATTAAGCAATTATGGTACTTAAAGGTTTTTTGCTTATTTCATTAATATTATTACTATTACCTTATATAATTTATTTTGCTGGAGTTTCTTTGTTTATATTATTTATTATAATTCTTTATGCCCCCGCGCTTACAATTTATCTATTTGGTTTTTAATATTTTTATTATTATAGATTTTAATTTTATGAAGATGCATCATCATCATATTTTGAATTTGGAAGCATTCCACGAAGTTAACCTAGATTTTTGGGTAGTTATATAGTTTACAAAAGTTCTTGTTTTAATTAAACCAATTATGTTTTTTCTTTAAATTCTTCTCCTGTAAACTATGCTACTGTTTCGTTAAATAGAATCTAGTTACAATTTGGCCTTTGCTTAGGGTCTACTTATAACATTAAAGTTATCATTTCATTTAGTTCGTCTGAATATCTTTTTTTTGTATATTATAATTTTAATAATTTAATATATAAATTAATACCTAAAAGGAATTCTGTCAAATCTACCTTTTTAAATTTTATTAAATAATCCTTCCATATCGTTTGCTGTAAAAGGAGGTCTTTAAGCACAAGCTTCATATAATACACAGCCCAAAGACCAAATATCACTTTTGCTATTATAAGGCTCATCTCTCCAAACTTCAGGCGATGCATAATACGGTGTTCCTGTTTAAGTATTTACAAATCCATTTTTAGCTACTTTAGAAACATTAAGATCACCTTTTTTATTTTTTTCATAATAATTACTTTTTTATTTTATTTACCTAATTTATATATTTTATCTTTTGTAATAAAAATATTTGCACTTTTTAAATCTCTATGCAAAATATTCATATCATGTAATGCTTTTAAACCTTTTGTTAAATCTACTATTATGCCCCAAATTTATTATTCTTAGAAATAAGTCTTATTTTTTATATGAGTGTTTATCATTCCTTGTAAATCCCCGAATTCAGCATATTCCATTATTATACAAAGAAGTTGACTTGGCTCGTCTATAAATGCTTCTTTGTAATTTATTATATGCTTATTACTTATTGAAGCTAATATTCGAACTTCGTTTAATGCATTTTACTTTTCTTTCTATTTTAATTAGTTCATTTATACTTTTTTCATAGCATATATTTGGCTGTCTGATTTTCTTTTAACTTTATAAACTTAAGAATATGAACCTTCACCCAATGTATTTATTATTTCAAAATCTTTTAATTATGTCATTTATTTTATCATAGTTTACATTTTAGAAATATTTTTTTATCTTATAAGTTATTTATTTTTATACAATTTTTTAATAATTAATTGAAATTATTTTTATTATTAAATCAACCAAAATTTTTTATTAAATTAATTTTTAATTTTAATATAGATTATTTATATTTAATTTATTTTGTATATAAAATAATAATCAGAATATTATAATTTTTTTTTTTTTTTAATTTATATTATTAATTATAATAAAATTCATTAAAGCTTTCTTTAAAATAAATTTAATGGAATAAATATAATTATTATTCGATAATATTACAATTATATTTTAATAAAAATTATTAAATTTTAATTTTATTATTTTTTTGTATTAATTGTGATATTATGATAATTAAATAAGTTTAATAATATTTTTAAAAGCATTAAAATTTTATAAATTTAATATTATATATTTTCATAATTTATCATTTATTAAAAAAAATTAAATATTAAAGTACATATATAAGCGAGTTAAGGAAATCCTATTATATAATGCAAAAAATAACAGACAAGTTAGAAACACTTTAATAATATAAAAATCAAATAAAAGATATTTAAATAATCTAGAGTACGAGGAGAAAATTTATAATAATTTTATAAATATACAAAAATAAAACTAAAAACAACTAAAATTTGTATAATCGGTTAAACTAGTTAATTTTATTCTGAAAATAATAAATTTACTAATAAAAATATATTAATAAAAAAAAAAATACATTAATTATAATTAAAAAAAAAAAATTAAATTATATAATATATATATAATAGTAATATTCTATTTAAAATTATAATAAAATAAAAAAAATTATAATAATAATATTTTTTTGAAAATAAAAATAAAAATATAATATAAACAATTAAAAATAAAAATTTTAAAAAAAGTAATTATATTCAAAAAAATAAATAAAAAAATGTAATTAATAAATAATAAATAAATAAATAAATAAATAAATAAATAAATAAATTAATTTTTTTATTTATTTTTCTATTATTTAATATATTTTTTTTATTTATTATATTAAAATTTCTATTTTATATATTTTTATTTTTAAAATATTTGTATTTTTTAATAAAATTGTATATTTTTATTGATTAAATAATATTTTTTTTTAATATTTTTTTACATATCATTTTTTATATTATTAATATTTATACATAATATTTTTTTTTTTTATATATAATTTATTTGAATTTTTAATTTTTATTTCTTATTTTATATATAAATAAAATACAAAAATCATTTTTGTTTAAAATCTAATATTTTATTTATATCATATATTTTTATTTTAAATAAATAATATTTTAAGTTATCTTATTAAATCTAGTATTTTTTTACTTAATCATTAACTAATAATTCTAAATTTTAATAAAAATAATAATATATTTATGAGTAATTTTTTCTAAACATAAATTATAAAAATTATAAAAAAGTGAAGACTACGTGACTTGAACACGCAACCGTTGGATTTGGAGTCCAACGCTCTACCAGTTGAGCTAAGTCTCCTTTGTTAATTAATATTAATTATATTAATTTATTAAATAACTTTGAATCGTCAAGTTTTAAATTTATTTATATAAATAAAATAAATCATATTTTTAAACAATTTATTAAATTAAATGAAATCATTTATTGATTTTTTAAATATAAATTATTTGATAATTATGAAAAATATATATAGTTACATAATAATATTTTTTCATTGATTTTAAAATAATAATATTTTTTTATTTTTTTCTATATAATTCAAAATAAAATAATATAAAAATGGGTGCAGCAAACTGTACTGCTTGTGTTAGAAGAAGTGATGACTTTCATTTAGAAATGAATATAGATATGAAACCTCGTCCGCGTTAAAATTAAACATAATACATATAAGAATAATAAGATGAAAAATTAATATTAAAAAGAATAATAAAAATTTAAGCATTATTAAAAGGTTGGCTATAAAGAAAAAAATTTATGAAAGAGAAAATAAAAATATATAATATAAAAGTAGACTAGCTTTTATTTGATTTTATTTAAAAGCATTTATCTAAATTTTCAAAATTACCAGCATTTTAATTTAATAGTTATTAATATCCTGAGATAAATACTTAATAATTTAATTCACGTTTTTTTAGAAATCCAGTATTATTAGAAAACGGTGCTATTTATATAGGAGAATGGTATTTTTTAAATATATATTTATATAAATTATAAAAAAGGTCATTTGATAAAAAATATGGCAAAGGGATTTAAGTATGGAAAGATGGTTCAACATATGAAGGCTTTTGGATTAATGATAAAGCCTGTGGAAATGGTCGACTTATACATGCAAAAGGAAGCATTTACTTTGGAGAATGGAAAGACCATAAGTTTCATGGGTAAGGAACTTTAATTAACAAAGATGGATCTTGTTATGAAGGAGAATGGGTTGACGATAAATAAGAGGGAAAAGGTTTTTATTATTTAAAAAAATAAAATTATTTTTGTTTTTTAGGAGTTGAAACATGGAATGATGGTTCAAAATATGAAGGATAATATAAAAATAATATGAAGGAAGGAAAAGGAGTATATATATGGGCTGATAAATCTTAATATGATGGTAATTTTTTAAATAATAATTTAGAAGGATAAGGAGTCTATATTTGGCCTGACGGAAGAAAATATTAAGGAGAATGGCTTGATAATTAAATGAATGGAAAAGGTATTTATACTTGGATAGATGGTAAAAGATATATAGGGTAATACAAAAATGGGATAAAAAGTGGTTAAGGAATTTTCGAATGGTTTTTTTATTTTATTTTAAAAGAAATTAAAACATAAATAAAGGCCTGACGGAACTAAATATATAGGCGAATGGAAAGACGGAAAATAACATGGAAAAGGAGTATTTTATACTTTTAATGGGTAGAAAAAAAAAGGAGAATGGAAAAATGGATAAAAAGAAAGATGGATAATTTTTGAAGATATAAATGATAATTTTTAAGAATAAATTGAATAAAAGTTTTATAATATTTTAGTCTAATATTAATAAAAATATGTAAAATGCTAATAACTTTAATAATAGAAAATCAATAATATGCTTTAATAAACCTAAATTAAATAAGATCAAGAAAATGATAAAGAAAATAATTAAATTACTAAGCTTAAACAGTATTAAAACCTTTAAAATAATCTTACATATGATGGTAAATAAATATAATAGAAAAATTTAATAGATAAAAAGTGATTATTATAAATAAAAATACTAATCTTTTTTTTAAAATGCATACTCTTTATACAAACATAATGGCTTTTAATTTTGTTTAATAAATTTGAAATTTTTCAAAATATTGTTTTTAAAAAAGATGTAATAAATATTAAATATAGAATTAAATTTAAATAAAATAATTTTTTTTAATAAAATAATTATTAATATACATAATATCATATATATAAAAATATGAACAAATCAAATCAAATCAAAAAATATTACAATTTTTTTTTTTTTTTTCATTTTTTGAGATTATAGCATCAAAAATTTCCTTTTCCTTTTTCTTTTTATAATTAAATAATTAAACATTTTAATTTACAATTTTAACTTGATTTTTACCATTAGTTTACACCACATATACAACTTAATTATTATTTAAATTAGTATTTATATATAGAAGATGATTATGATTAACTTTAATATTCATATAATTCCATTATCCTTCAATTTACAAATGAGCTTCACTTTTGAGGATACAAATACTATTTTATTGAAGACTAATATTATTTATTTCTAGTACTTATTTTTTTTTATCACATATGATAAAGAGTCTATTTTAGATTTCATTTTTTTACCTTTTTTATTTTATAAAAACTCCTTTGCATAAATTTCCAATAATATTTTCAATATTGTTATATTTAATATTTAATGTTTTTGATTCTTTCAGATTTTCGTTTTCTTTTCTTAAAATTTAATTAAAAATAGTCTAAATTTCAATAACACTGCAAGTAGTGTTTGTATCAAAGTATTTATCTTTTTCTTCTTTATTCGAAAATTGCATCCCTCCCATAAAAATTAAATACTCTTTATCATAATCATTTGCACAAAAAGTATCTTGTAATTATTTTTGTCCAATTTTTATTATAATAGGATTTGTTCTTGGATAATTTAGAATTATTTTAAAATTTGGACTAACACTAATTTCCCTTTTTTTATACAAAAAACTTTTATATCGTTTCTTGGAATTTTATTCCATTTTCTATTATATAACCCCCAATCACTAAAAGAGCAGAGTTCCCTTTTTTATCATTAAGAACATATAAACTGGGGTCAATCCTTTATTATTAATATTCTTCCTTATCACCTAAACAAATTTCGATTAAAGGTTTACTTTTATCGTTTTCATAATCATATAAAGGGTTATTACTAAAAACAAGAATTTAATCATTATTATCGTATATAAAATGCCTTCCTGTTACTGAATCTGTAGCCATATAAGGTGAAGGATCATTTACAAAATCAAAAGAAAGAATATATTTATTTGCTGTCATTTAATATTAAGCATTTTTAGGTTTTATTTCAGCAGACTATAATTTACTACTTGTTTGACTTGCATTTAGAATGGCCTAATTATATTACATTTAGTAACTTACTACTATTAAATTTGCTAATTTATTTTCGAAATGTAAATGCACAATTTATTTTTTGAATAATTTTACTATTTTTTGAAATTGGTTCTGGAATTAAATTTGTGATTGAAGCATAATATAAGTCTTATCTTTTAACTTTCTTCTATTTTATAAAGATATTAATGCTGCTTCTAATATTTCACTATCTTAATCACCTATCTTTTTTTTTTTTAATTTTTTTTTTTGTTATATTTACAATTTTATCTGTCTTATCATCATTTACTATTGTTTTGAAATTATATGTTAAACTTAAGTAAATAAAAATTTCTATTTAAGTATTTTTTAATAGCGATACTTATTAGTTTTTTTGCTCTATTTTTTCTAATAAATACTTAGCTTAATTCATTTATTATTTTCTTTGTTCTTTTATTTCATTTTAATATTAGATTGAATTTTAATGAAATAATAAATTTTTGTTTGTAAATTATGTGGGCTTTTCTAATTAATAAGGTCTATTAATTAATATTTAAGATTAATCAACTCCATTGGAATCAAATAACTTTTATGAAGATTATTATCGATTGACTTATGGATATTACATTTGTTTAATAATTTTTTATTAATTGTAATTTATTCAAAAATTATAATATCAAATAAAAATAAATAATTAATTTATCAAGAAAATACCTATTTTAATTATTTTTTATATTTTTTGTTCACTTTTAAATTTATATTGAAGCTTATTTATAAATTATCTAATATATTTATTAGTATACATTAATTTAATATAGTAATTATTATATTTAGTTATTTTTAATTTTATTTATAATTATTTCAATAATTAGCAATTAAAAATATAAAGGATTAGCTTTATAATTTAATTATGAAAAAAACATTGAAATCTTAAACATTTAATAGGCTTAAAACTTATCTAAAAATAAATATAATATCAATTATTTAAAAATATAATAATAATTTTAAAATTATATTTAATATTACTTAATATTTATTAGAATAGTGTATTTTAAATACAAATCATTTATAAAAATCAAAAAAAATATATTTTAAAACAAAACATTTTTAATAATATTATTAAATCTTATAAACAAAAAATATAAAAAAATCTCAAATTTAAAATAATAATATTAATATAAAAATCTATTTATTAGTTCAATACCAACAAAATAACGAAGGCAAAACATTAATAAAAATACTTTTATAAAATTATAATACAAAAATTTAATTTTTACAACATAAAATAAAAATATGATAAAAATAATATTTATACTTAATACTTTTATATAATATATATTAAGTGAACAAACTATATTTAAAGGTGACTGGATAAAATAAGATAAAATAAAACTAATAAGTGGTTAGAAAAAATAGATAGATTTCTTAAATAGCGAACATATAATAGATTGTAAAATAACAGATTTAAATCATAAGTAAAACGAACAAAAGAAATATAAATAACTTTGTTAAGTTTAACATTCTTAGCTTACTTCAATGAATGAATAAAAAAAACATATTCATACATCCCCTAAGAATATTTAGATAACAGATTTTTAAATATATGAAGAAAATATGATTGTAATAGCATAATAAAATGGTTAAATTATTTTCAAAAAAACAAAAATATAAAATAATAACGAATTAGTTATTTAAGAATTTCACACTTAAAAATTAAACAAAAGCTAAGATTAATAAATTAAGCTTTCTTATATAAAAAAAGATAAATATATTCTTATATATACATAAAATGATGGAATTTTATAATACATTTAAACTCCTTATTATTATACTAAACCTAAATTAAACAAAGTGTAAAATCTAATAGAGTAAAATGCCATAAAGATGCTTTTTTTTAATAATTTATTACATTTTATCAGCGAAGAAAATAAGTTCAGAATATATAAAATAAAAGAAACTGGATATAATCTAAAAGCCTATTTATAAAAAGAATCTAATATTTTTACTCATAAAATTTAAGATTTTTCATATTTTAATGATGTATTAATAACACTAAACATAGAAGAAGGAATAAGCTTTTATAAAATGGAAAATAAAACTCAAAAATATGAAAAAATATAGAACTTTACAATTCCAATAAAGACAGGAACTCAAATAAAATAATATTAATTAAATACTATTTTAGTATTTGTATCCTCAGAAAACTCAATTATAGAATATTTTATAGATTTAAATTAAAAAAAATATATTGAAGCTAATGTTTTTAATTTAAATGTAAATATTTAGCATATTTCATTAGAAGGTAAATATTTTTTTGTCAGTTCATAATTCTATTTGAATTAATTTATTCCTTTAAATTTACCTGCATAAGCCTTATCTGAAATAGAAAGTCATAAAACAAGCATTTATAATAATAAAGTAAAAATTTAATTGAAATATATGAGCTTTAATTTAAATTAAAATTAAATAAAATACTATGTTACTTTAATAAATAACTAATAAATAGAAATTGTACCTTATAAATATTAAGCTGAAAGCATATTATGTTCTGCAAAATCTCATAATTTAATATCAAATTTAAATAGTCATTATGAGTATTTGATTTTGCTAAATTCAACTGATTGCTTGGAAAAAAGAGAATACTTTTAGAATAAAAAAGATGAATAAATTGAACAAAAAATGAGCTTTTGTAAAATTTACGAAACAATGTAATTTTATGTAGATTTTACTCAATAGGAAGAAAAAGAATTCTAAGTTGGAATTTTTATTATTTTCTTTAGTGTTGCAGCCTTCGCTTTTTGGGCTAAATTTTATTATAACTATAAACTTTAATAACTTTAAAATTTATCATAAAGTATGAAAAGTGGAAATAAAGAAACAAAAAGGACTTTTAATTTAAATTATTAATAAATTAATTAAAATGAAGTTAATAATACATTTAAATAACAAAATAATGTTATTAAAATTTATTGATTAAATTTCATTTTATTATTTTTATATAAGTGTTTTAGATGATTTTTTATAAAATTCTTTATTTATAGTGCTTTTTTAATAAAAAGATTCAGCTTTTTTTTGTTTAAATTAAATATGTTTATTTTTAATAATTGTTTTATTTATTTTATATTTTTTTTCATTTAAACTAAAATATATTTTTTATAAATTAAAATGTCAAAAAAGAAAAAAGGATCAAATAATCCTTATGCTCTAACTGAAAAAGAAAAAAAAGCTCTTGATACATTGTAATAAAAAAATAATAATTATTTTTTTTAAAACTATTTTTTTTAAAAGAAATAAAGAAGAAATATAATCGATATTAGGTGTATACAATTAACGTTCTTTATTTTTGTAAACTAAATAAATTTAGAAAATAAATATTTTTATAATAAAAAGAGATACATAAATAAGTTAATTGCAGCAATAATTATATTAAAATGATAATTAAAATGTTAATATTTTTTTATATATTACTAGCATTTAATTTTTGCTTTATGCTTATTTTATTTTTAAAAAAAAGCTTTTGGGAACGAAAAAAATGGAAGATGACACAGATATACAGGACGATGAAATCGTTGTTATTTATAAAATGATTTAAGAGCAGACTAATTATTATTAAAGTTAAATTAGAGAATTTGAACATAATACAGAATTAGAAAAAAAATGTAAAAAAAAAAAAGAAAATTAATAAATAATATAGTTAAATTTTATAAATAAAATAGAATTTATGATTGAAAAAGTAAAACATATAAGTGAATTGTAAAAAAACATTGAAAACTTAACTTGTGAAAGACATCATTTATATGGATATCCAGTAAAATAAAATTATAAAAAAATAATTTATAATTATAATAAAAAAATAGCAAAGAGAAATTGAATATTTAGAATAAATAAGAATTTTAGAATAAAATTAAGTAGATGCAAAAAAATAACATTAAAATGAATTGCAAAAATATGAAAATAATTTTATTAAATAAAAACGAAAAATAGATGAAGATTAAAAAGAGGCAATTCAAAAAATCAAAAGAGACGCTTTAGAATAAGCAAACAAAAGTTATATTTTTATATAATAAATAGTTTTAAAAAATTAAAATAAAAAAATAATAGAAATAAGAGATGCAGAATAAACTGCAAAAGAAAACTTAAAATTAAATTAAGATTTATAATTACATATTAATGAATTAAAAGAATTAGATATCGAAAAAGATTAAATTATTACATAAAACATTCAATATAAAAAAAGTTTGTAATTAAATTAAGAAGGTATATTCGAATATTAAAGTGTTAATCATAAATAAGCTATAAAAGTTAAAAAGCTAAAAGAAAAAATTTAATATTTATAAGATTTTTTAGAAAAAGTATAAACTTAAAAAAAAAATCGTATAAGATTTTTTTTTTTTTTTTTAAGGAAAAATAAAAATAAGTTACTTAAATTTAATAAATATAAAAAAATTATTAAAGTTCTTCATCGAAAATGGAATATGATTTGAATTGTATTTAATATAAAAGAATAATTAAATTTTTTTTATTTAAAAAATTAAATTAAAGGTTTAACAGAAAGTTAAAGGAAAAAAACATAAGAAATAAAAAATATAAAAGGAATTTGCTAAATGATATTAGATTAAAGAACTGATATTGAATAGTTTTTTTTAGAGGCAGTTGATTAAGTAAAAGAAGACTATTTTTAAAGAATTAATTTTTAAACTTAATAAAGTAAAATTGAAAACAAAAATTAAGTAGTTAACAATTTATTTTAAAGTAATTATTTAAGCAGATAATAGTCTTTAAAAGTAAAAAAAATCATAATTTATTTTATTTTCACTTTAATTATAGGATGAAATTACATCAAAATAAAAATTTAATATTTTGAAGTTAAATTAAGAAGAAAAGGACAAAATTTTAAGGCTTCTTTTCTAAAAAGTTAATTCTTAATAATTATTGAAACCTTGGAGATCAAGTTAAAATTATAATCAAATATATTATAGTACATAGAAAGATTAAATGATAAATGATGCTTAAGCTAATTAATTTTATAATGAAAGTATTGAAGATAATATTTAATATGATATTTGAATTTTTTTATTTTTTAAAAAAATAAATATATTTTATTATTTTAAATTTTACAAAATACTAAAATAATATTTTTATTTATAAATCTTATACTTGTATATTTTTGTTTTATTATAAAGTTTAATACTTTATTAAATTCTTTTATTTTTTTATATTAAATTTTTTATGTTATTATAAATTTTTATTTTATTAGTAATTGTATTAAAATTAGTTAAAAAATATAAATTAAATTATTTAATTGGTAAATTTATATATTTTTTTTATGTTTATTTTATAAAAATCTTTTATTTTATATATTTATATGAATCCTATACTTTATATTATTTTCATATTATAATGCGTTTATATTAAATAAAATATATTAAAAATTATAATTTTCTTTCTAAAAAATATAATTTATAACAAATATTTTATATAAAATAAATATATTAATAAAATACTCTATTTAATATGAATAATTTATAAATAACATAATATAAAATATTAAAAACAAATATAATAATATATAATACTAATAATATATAAAATACCTATTTTAATAAATAAAAATATTAGAAATAATTTTATATAAAACAGTTATTTATTTTTAATATTAAAATATTATAGTTTATAATATATATATATACTAAATATTTTTTAAATTAAATTTTTATTTATTGTATTGTAAAAAAAATTAAAATATTATTATTATTTACTTAATTATAAATAAAAAACAAATAAATTTAATTAATATATTATACTATTAAATAAAAATGCAAAATAGCTATAGTTTATCTGATCAAAATCCATAAATAGTGTTTGTTTGTGGTAAAAAAATAAATATTAAAAAAAAATATATAAGCAAGTCTAATTAATTAAAAGGTGGTCCTGGTAGCGGAAAAAAGACATAATGTGAAAGACTTGTTCGCGATTATCACTTTTATCACATATCTATAGATGATTTAGTCCGTGATGAAATCAAAAAGTATTAAAAAAAACAACAAAAAATTAAAAAATAAATAAATAGAGAAACTCCAGAAGGATTAAGATTTAAAGAATCAGCAGCTAAAGGAGGTTAAGTTCTCGATGATTTAGTAGTAAATTTAATATTAATGCAGATAAAATCCAAAAAGTCATTGGTAAAATAAAATAATAATAAAAAAATATTACATTTAAAAATAGAAATATTTAATTGATGGATTTCCTCAAGGAATAAACTAAGCTTTAATATATGAGCGAAAATTTAAAGAAATTGAATTTATATTAAATTTATAAGTATCTGATGAAATTCTTAAAGAACGTCTTTTATCTAGAGGATAAGCAAGCAGCCTTGCAGATGATAATGAGTTAGCAATAATGAACCAAATAAATACTTTTCATGGAATTACATAACCAGTGTTAGATTTTTATGAGAATTTAGGGAAGGTATGTACAATAGATGGAAGTAAAGAAATAGATGAAGTATTCAAAAAAATAGAAGAGATGATAAAACCAAATATAATATTCATGTACGGTCCTCCTTGTATAGGTAAAAGTGAAATAAGTCGAAGTTTAAGCGATAAAACTAAATATATGTATATAAATATGAGTAGTTTTAAAAAGCAACATGGAAATTTCAAAAGTGATAACGAATTAGTCAATAAATTAATGAATTATTTAGAAAATGCGCCATAAAAGAATTTTATAATTGACGATTTTTTTGAAGAAAAAGAAAATGTGGAAATATTTTTGTTGCATTTTTGTAAACCATGGAAGGTTTTTCATTTTGATTTTCAAAAATATTTTGTAAATTAGAGAATAGTTTAGTTTTCAAAAAAGGAAAAAGAAAGACTTGAAAAAATAGCTGATTATGAAAAATATATTTAAAATAAAAGTTCTATCTTATCTTTAATACAAAAGCAAGACTTCTTTTTTTAAATTAATAACTTTGTTTCTGTTTCTGATTTATAAAAATCAATTCTACTTTAAATTAAGCCTTTAGTACTTTATTCTAATGCAAATGATATTGGCTTATAAGAAAAATACATATAATTATTGTAAAAAGAAAGATATTTTATAAATATTGATGTAGATAAATAAATATCACTCGAAATTTCAAGAGGGACTGTTTTAGGAAATAAAATGAAAGCCTTCGAATAGACTGGATAGGAAATTCCATGGAGATAATAATCAGAAATGATACAGAAAATTTTATTTATGAACCCTACCCAATAAAGAAAATTTATAATAAGTAATTTAAAAGAAAAAAATGTTGAAAATTTACAAAAAGAATTTAACTTTTCTTTTGATTTTTATGTTAATTTCACATAAGGAGATTAAAATAATAATAATGATAACTAAGTTTATTTTAAAAAAATAAATCCTCTTTTAGATTTTTATTCTAAAGGAAAATACATCGAAATTATCGAGCCAAAACTTGAAATTTTAGATTTTTATATAAATACAAGACCATTTTATGGATTTGTCTTAGGCCCTCAAGGCTGCGGAAAGACAACAATAAGCAAATATATAGCAAATTAATATAATTACTAACTTATTGATTGGGAGCAAACTATTGAAATGTTAAAAGTAAAGCTAGGAGGCGAAGAAGGGCCTTTAGAAGAAATATCCTATGTATAATTAGAAAAATACTTCTACGAAAAAATGCAAAAAGAAAAAGATAATGGGCGTTTTTTATTTGACGGATGGCATTAATAATATTCTTTTGCAAACTTCTAAGCTTTTTTGAATAAAATGGGTTTGCCTCCTACTTTTTTAGTCTTTTTCTAAACTGAGAAAGAAGCATTTACCTAAAAATATAAAGTTAAAAACGAAATAGCAGAACTTCAGGAAGAAGACATTGCAAAAATAGATGAAATACTTAATAATTGGTCTCAATACGAAAATATGATTCTTTAAATTTCCCAATAAAAATTCGGAATGGAGCTGATAATTTTAAAGGGAAAAACAATAACCGAAACCCAAAAAGAAATAAAAAAAAATAGTTTCTTTTCCAAAAAATTAATCCTAGTAAATAATTATATACACCCATCATTTAATGAAAAATCTCTATTTTTAAAAACCATGCTCTTAAATTTCTGTTTTAGTAAAAAAATAGCATTTATTGACATTATAGATCTTTAAAAAATACACTATAACTTAAAAATAGACACTAAAATACACGAAAGAACCCACTAAGAATACTAAATGAGAAATACTTCTTTAAATCCAGAATTTCCTTCCAATTATACCCCAAAACTGATAATTGAAGTCGTTTAAAATTATCTTAAAAAACTCTAAAAATCTCCTCCTTAAATTCTTATTTATGGATATCCTTCAGGAGATACTCCTTTGGAAAGGTCATAAAATGAACTTATGTACCCAAGAGCAAGCGATGAGATTTTTTTAGTCGAAAAAGAATTAGGAGCGATTCGAATGCTTTGTGTTTTGACCGATAAATAAGTACATTGGTAGATCTAAGATTAAGAATGGGAACTCTAAGTGCCTGAAAAAGAATAAAAAAACCAAAAAGACGACGAAAAGAAAGATGATGGGGAAGAAATAGAATAAAAATAGGAAGATGATGGAGAAAATAACGTTAAAAAATTCAATATTTATGATTATTAATGGACTAAAAGTGATGGTATTCCGAAAACAGTACCTTAATGGTTTAATAAAATAAAAAAAACAATCAAAAAGCATGTTTCTTTATTAGAATAAGAAGAACCCTATATAAATGGATTTAATAAATTAACTGAATTTTTGAACGTTATTAATGATGAAAATAATCCATTAAATTAAAAAGATTAAGATTATAATAAATGTAATATTTTTGTTCAGTTCAGATATGAAAATGTTGAAGAAGAAACAGAAAAAGAACCTGAAAGAATTCCTTTCAAATTTATTGAACCTGTAAAAGAATAATAATAAGTAATTTAAGATGCTCCTTAAGATATAAACGAAGATAATAATGATGCTTAAGAAAATGTTCCTTTCCCTGAAAACATGTAAGAAGAATAGGAATAAGAAAATGAATGAATTTTTATTTTATTTAAAAAAAAATAAAAAATCTTTTATTATATTTTTAGTTTTTCTTAAATAATATTTATTAAAAAAAAAAAAATATTATTTAGTTTTTTTTTTTTTTTGAAATTCAAAATTTATATTAGCTTTCTTTAATTATTTCTAAAAGTTAGTCTTAATTTAATTCTTATTATAGCTTTGCTTAATCTATATCATCTTTATATAACTCTTAATTTAATATATTTATCATTTACTTATTTATTTTATTAGATATATAAATTTTTATTTTATATAAAGTTTTTTTTTTACAATAATTTATTCATCTGATATATTAGTTAATTTTAAATTATTTACTACTTTTCTTAAACTAGAATATGTAATTTTATTTTCTTTTTGATCTTTTAAATTGTTAAATAAAATAGGTAAATATTATTAAACTAAAATTTATGAATTTTCATTTTATAAAGAGCTTTTTTTTTCTTTAGTTTTTGTGATTAATTATTATTGCTATTTTAATTTGTTTCCTATTCTTACTCTTACTTTTTTATTGGCAATTTTTTAATATTTTGGCGTTTGCTTTATATTTTTTAAGAATCCATAATTGAGTTTTTTTTTAAATATTAAAATTCTTTAATGTTATTAATATCACAAATATAATCTTCATCATTATTATTACTTTAAAATCCGCTTTCGTCTTTTTCTGATGTATATATGTTTTCCTATTTAATATTTATAATAATTAATTATATTATTATTACTTCTTCTTCTATTTTTGATTTTCTTTATCTTTTCAGCATTTTTTTTTTTTGGTTTTTTTTTTAATACTAATAACATAAAAATATAAATTTTAAATCCAAATTATAAAAAAGATTATAATTTTAAAAATGTTATAAATAATGAAAAATAATATAATAATAACAAAATAAAAATATAATATTAGCAGAAAAAAATAATTTATAAATATTTATTGAATATTTAATTATTTTTTAATAGAATTAGATAAAATTATCAATATAAACTTAAAAACAATTAAAATTGAACTATTAAACTATGATAAAATCAGTATAGAAAAAATTATTATTTTTTTTTTCATAAAATAAAATATATTTTACATTAAAACATTAATATTAATTCATTTTATTATAATTAAATATAGAAAATATATTATTTTTATTGTTTACTGTAAATTATTTAAATAATGTATTTTCAAATAAAATATATTTCGAATTAATATTTATAAATAAATACTTAATTAATACAACAAATAAATAAAAAAATAATTAAATCTTTGTAAGAAAAAAAAACAAAAAAATATAAATAAAAATAAAAAAAAAAAAATTAATATAAAGAATTATTTAAAAACAACAAATAAAATATAAAAAAATCAATAAATAAATTGAAAAATATGACAAACTAAATTGAGTCAGTTTAAGATTCACATGTTGCTCCTAATCTTCATAATTTTCATCATTCAGCAGATTAAGAATGGTAACATTAGGAACCTTTAATAGTTTTCTTTATATTTTTCGGTTTATTTTTCGGAGGAATTCTTCGTTAAGTAAACTAAGTTACAAAGATACCTTATACTCCAATGTTAATAATTTTAGGAATAATTTTTGCAATTTATCGTGACGATTTAGGTAATTCTATATATATATATATATAAACGAACAAACAAAACAAGGTTTTATTGGAGATTCAATAAAGATTTGGAGTGGTATAAATCCTCATATGATTCTATTTATATTTATTCCCGTTCTAATATTTGAAAGTGGATTTAATTGTGACTGGTATGTATTCAAACGCGCTTTAATTAACATTATACTCTTGGCCGCACCTGGAGTATTTATAGGTTCAATATTTTTAGCTGTATGCTTAAAAGTATTTCTTTCGTATGATGATATATCCTGGTATGGAGCCTTAACTATGGGATCAATATTATGTGCAACAGATCCAGTAGCCGTAGTTGCTTTATTAAAAGAATTAGGAGCTTCTGTATAACTCAATACCTTAATTGAAGGAGAAAGTTTACTAAATGACGGAACCGCAATGGTATTTTATTAATTATTTATAAATTTAGAAAAAGGAAAAAGTAGTTCACCAGTAGATATTTTTTTAGGATTTTGCAGAACCTCATTAGGAGGTCCTTTATTGGGAATTTTTATGGGAATATTGGGGTCTTATTGGATTCGTAGAATTATAAGGGATGACGTATTGACATCTACTGTAACTTTTATTGTATGCTATATATGCTTTTATCTTGCAGAATTCTCCTTTTTGGCTGTTTCAGGAATACTCTCTATTGTTGTTTTAGGTCTTTTCATGAGCGCAAATGGAAAAACGAAAATATATCCAGAAAGTGAACATGCAGTTCACACAGTTTGGTCGTTCGCTCAATATGGCTGCGAGACTTTAATATTTTTATTAACTGGAGTACTAATTGGAGTCGAAATTGTAGGACAATCAACAATTGTAATGTCCGATTGGTTCAAGATGTTTATTTTTTGGATTTTTATGATAATAGTAAGATGGTTAATGATAATAATTTTAATGCCATTATTAAGAAAATCCGGTTATCCAATAACTCGATCCGAAATTTACGTAATTGTCTGGGGTGGGCTAAGAGGTGCTTTAGGATTAACACTATCTCTAATGGTATTAGTTGACTAAGAAATAGAAAGTATTCGTTTGAAATAATTAACAGTTTTTTATATGGCAGGAGCAGCGACTTTGACTCTTTTAGTAAACGGAACTACTTGTGGTGCTTTAGTTAATTATTTAAGGATTATAGAGGTAACTGATGTGAAAAAACGTTTGGTTTAAAATTCAATGAGAAATATGATTAATGTCTGTAATGATAAGCTAAAGAAATTAAAAAGTGATTAATTTTTATAACTCGCAGACTGGAATAAAGTCGAAAAAATAAGTGGATTAGACGAATTGAAAACTGAAATGTATAGATCCCAAGAAGGAGTTAATATTAGTTAGAGAAAATCTACTTATGCCGCAATTAATAAAAAGGAATTACTAAATGAAATCAGATTTAGGTTATTGAGATCTATGAAAGGCCTCTTTTGGGAAAACTATGAATCTGGTTAACTCTCAGCTAATTCAGTTAAACTTCTTGACGAAGTAATAAATATAGCTTTAGATGATACATAAAATCCTTTAAAATTATGGGATTTAATTTTTATTAACTTTACTAATTTATCTTATTTATAATTAATGTTTACTATTAATAATTGGATTATTATAGGTATATTTAAATATTTTTTTTAAATTAAAAACAATTTTTAAGGTTCTATGGCTAAAACATATATTACTCATCATCTTTCATTTGTATATGAAGTTGTTTCTTGCTTTATAATTTGCGCTCATGAAATTGAAGAAATACAAAATTATTTACCTTTATCTAAAAGTTACATAGAAGAAGTAGGGGAAGAACTATAAAACAGTGTTAAACTCGCCGAACATTATATAGCTGAACTTTCTGACAATTTCCCTCAAATCATAAAGTCAATTCATACAAAGAGAGCTGCAAACGGTTTAATAGAGGCTTAAAAACATTTCCTCCGTAACTATAAGACTAAAGGTTATATAGATGATACCGATTATGTATAATTCCGTAAAAGAATTGATTCTAAAGCCGTAAATTTAGAAAATATGTAATTTGATTGGGTACTTCCTACATTTTAATCAATATTATTGCAATTTCCAATATTTAGTTCTTTAACAGACGATTAACTAAAGTTATTATAATAGAATTAAAAAGTACGTACATTCGAAACAAACGAAGAAATATATACAAAAGGATAACCTTTCAGAAATATTTATGTAATAACATAAGGAACAGTAGACGATAAAATAACAGATTTATTTTCTATTACATTGGGTATAGGTGGATTTCTTTCGTTTGCAAACTGTGTTTCTGAAACTGATGAAGTATCCTCTTCTACAGCTGTAGCAGTAACTTCAGTGAAAACTAACTGTATTCCTTTCTCGATTATTAAATAAATCATGAAGCAAAATAGAGTATTTGAGTAAAAAATGTATATGAAAAGTATGATTTATTTCGTTAGAATTAATCCTGAAAACGCTGGTCCTTTAAAAGTTCTTAATGAAAATAATCTTAATGATTATTGCGAACATGCAGAGTTCTTCTCACTTGTATAAACTCAAAATATAACTTTCGAACATGGTGCTTATCTTATTGCAGGTTAAATAAAAGATTCTTCGAATGGGAATGTATTTAAATAATTTTCCTATATTTATCCTTCTAGTAATAACCATTTGGCTTTAGAAGATGTATACGTTATTAAGTTTATGGGAGATATAAGACATAAAGTTACTGTTATGGACTCTACTGCTGAAGAAAAAGGATATCTTAAGTATTAAGCTGAAAATCAAGAAAAACAAAAATCTAATGTAATTGAAATGTAATAAATGCATTGATTTTTCTTGTTTTTTATATATTTATTTGAATTTTATATTTTTTATTTTATTTTATCCATTTGCTAATATTTATAAAACTTTTATTAATATTAATTATTATCTTTATAATTTTTTTTTTATCACAAAAATTATGAAAATAAATATAAGAATTTTTTTTTAATCATAAAAATTTATAATTAAATTTTTTTATTGTATAAAATTTTATTTTAATAAACTTTTTTCATTATAAAATTTATAATTATATATATAAATATTTTTATTTCTAAAGGTTTTTAAATGATTAAACTTTAAATATAATATTAATGAAAAAATCTAAATAAAAATTAGAATTAAAAAAAAATAGTTATTTTAATATATATATTTAGTCTTTATTGATTAAGGTCTCTAAATATTAAGGTCATTTATTAATATTTTTTAAAATTTATCAGAAATTAAACAAGTTTATGTTAGAATTTTTTTTTGAGGTAAATTCTTAATCAAAATAATAAAAAAAAAAAAAATTATATATTAGTTTTGAATTTAAATATATAATAATTTTTTATGGAGTTTAAGTTAATATATTTTTTCTTGATATAAAATATTTTTAATGATATATAAATTATACAAATAAACAAAATTAAAAAAATATTATGTTAAATTATATTTCATAACAAAAAAAAAAAAAATTTAATTAAATTATATAAATATCAAATTAATTAAAATAAAAATAATATATTTTTATACAAATAAAAATTTTTAATTATATAATTATTATAAAAATCTAAATAAAATTAGATTATATAAAAATTTAAATAAAAATAAAATATAAATATAAATTAAAAAATAAATATAAATATATATATTTATAAATATATATTACATATATATTATTTATTTATATATATCTATATATATATTTTCATATATATATAATTTTTATTTTATATCCTTATATTATATATTTTAATTTACATTTTTTATTTTTTTCTTTTGTGATATATAAATATTAATTTTTTATATACTTTTTTAAATATATAAGATATTTTATTATTTATCGAATTTATTTATTTTATTTAATATTTTAATCTTTACATCTACTTTTTATATATATATATATATATTTTAATTATATAACACTTATAATTCTTTTTTTATAATTTTTTTATAATACTAATAATTAGATTTATTTTTAAAATATCAAACTTATATATTAAATCAATATACAAAATAACTTAAATTTATAAACTTTTTAATTTAATTTTTTTTTATTTCATATATTTTTACAAGTTTAATTTAATCTTTTAATTAAAGGTTAAATATTTTAAAAGAATATTATTTTAAATAATCTATTTTTTATATGTGATTTTTTTCTTATTGATATTAGATGAAATTATTTTATTTTTTTTAATTTTATATTCTCTTTTAATATTTTTTTTAAGACACAATAATTTTTATTTTTTGTTTGATATTTATATGTTTTTTTTTAATATATATTAAGCACATTTAGCAATAAATGTTTCAATTTATTATTTCTTTCTTTTAATTTAGTAAAATTCATTGTATATATTATAATCAATCTCTAAATGTGATTTATAAAAATTTTATATAATATTCGCTTCCATATAAATTTTGTGAGATTATATATATTTAAGTATTTAATTTTAATATATTTAATTTACATACTAAAAAAGTTAAACCAAATTATAATATTGCTACAATAATTAATAATAAAAATATAGAACAGAAATATAATATTTCTTCTATTTTTCATTTTAATATTCTTATCTTTCAAAAGGTTAATGATTTTTGGCTAAATTAAGGTCTAGCTTTTCTGTAAATTATAGAGTTTATAATATTAATTTATTAAAAAAGTTAACTATAAATATAGCTCATATTAAGAATATGCAAAATAATATTGTTTATTTATATTCTTTATTATATCGAAAAAAGTAAAAATTAAAATGTATATTATTATTAAAAAATAATTTTATAATATATATATTGTTTTTTTTTTTTGACTGAAATTAAATAAATAAATATATTTTTTTTTAGGAAATAATTAAAATAATGCTTTTTTATATTTATTTTTGTAATTTAAAAATGTTTATTTAATTGAATTATTTATGTTTATAAATATAATTAAAAAATATATATTTTTTTTAATTTTGAAAAACAATATTATTATAAAAAATAAAAATTTATTTTTTATATTCATTATATCAATTAATATATTTTTTAACTTATATTTTAATTCCAATTAATTAATTTGTTAGAATTTTATTGAATCCATTAGTTTTAAAGCGCTTCTTCTACATTAATTCTTTTATTTGGATCTATTATTAACAATTAATTTATAAATTGCTTAGCATCTTAACTAATAAAATCCGGATATTAGAATTTTACCTCAATAAAAATAAATTAAAATAAATTAAAAAATTAAAATAATTAAAATAAAATAAATATTATAAATAAAATAATTAAAGAAATTATAAAATTGAATACATCAAAAATATCTTAATTTGTTGATATTGGATTTAATATATCAAAAGGTAATTATCCTATATATATAATTAAATTAAAAAAATAAAAAAAAATATATAATAGAAACCGGTTAATAATTCATAAGTTAAGACTCCAATGCTCCACATATCGACTTTAAAATCATAATTTTATCCTTAAAAAATTTCAGGTGAAACATAATCTAAAGTACCACAAAAAGTTTTTCTTTTTTCCTTTGTACAAACTGACCATCCAAAATCGCTTATTTTTAATACACCAAAACAGTTAAGAATATTCTCAGGTTTTAAATCTCTGTGAATAATTCCTAAAGAATGTAAATATTATAAACCTTCACAAATCTATCTTGTATAAAAAACGGCTTTATCTTCACAAATCTATTTTTCTTTTTTTATTTCTTTTTGAATGTTTCCTTATTCTGATAATTCTAATAAAAGGTATATGTTTTACTAGTCTTCTAAAAATCCATACATTTTCAAAACATTTGGATGGTTTAAATATGTTTATATTTTTATTTCTTAAAATATTTATTGTTAAATACCATTTTATATTATGGTTTTTTTGCTTATCTGTTTTATTGCAAGAATAAAGTTTGTATCAATATGTCTAATTTATTTAAAAATATATATATATATATATACATTTATATTAAGTAATTTTTTAACTTTGATAAATATACACTACCAAATTTTCCTCTTCCTAAACATTTTCCTATTTAAAAATCACTTATACAAGTCTTTTTTTAAAAAATATTTCTTTGTAAATTAATGTATTATCCTTCTATTTATTCTTATTAAAATTTATTTTATAGTTAAATTATTTAAAATTTTTTTTATTTTAAATTTTATTCTTATATGTGAATTTTATTTATATTGAATAAATTTGATAATTATTTAGAAGGCTTTACTTAATCAAAAATACTATTCTATAACTATTTACATTTTTATTCTTTTTCTGCACAATAAAATTACTAAATATTAGGAAATATACACTTATCTAAATTCAAACTCTAATCTTTAATTTTTTCGATAGAATCTTAATTATTATATTCTTAAGGATTGTTTATATCATTAGTGTTAAATTAACATAAATTTAAAGTAAAATTATTATTTTATATTGATAATGGAGGATTAGAATTATATATTTTTATATTTGGAGAATTCTAAATATAATCAAACTGTTGTTGTTGTTGTTAGTTTTAAACATATATACTACTTTTGAGAGAATTTAAAGGATTTTAAAGCGCATAAGAAGACCTTAAATTTTAATAATCGCTTAAAAACATATTACTAATAAATATATATTAAAAATATTTATAAAATAATAGTGTACTTTAATTTATTAAAAAACTATAAACTCTCTTTTTTTTTGACTCGTTATTTATCATAAGCATTAAAATTCATTTGAAAAATTTTTTTTTCTTTATTTTAATATATGCTATCATATTTTTTCTATTCGATTCTTAAGCTTTTGTACATATTTTCATTATTATTAATATGTAAATTCAAATTCTTTTTATATTAACTAATAATTTTTTAGAAATTATTGTCCGAGTTATTAAATTTATTTTAATATTAATTTATCTACTTTTATTTGTTAATAAAAATAAATTTTTCATATTGTTAATCTTTTTCAATTTTTTTCTTTTCTTTAATAATACTTTTAATATCTTAGGATTTATTCATATACAAATCAAATTTTGAATTCAAAAGATTATTTTCTTTTTTATTAATAGAACTTTTTTTAAAAAATGAGCTTTGTCTTTATATAAAAGAGTTTTAATGAAAAGATTTACTGGTCTTTAGACTGTATTAATTTTAATATACAATCATATAAATATATATTTTTACAGATTAACGCTTTGCCTCAAATTTTTATAATTATACTAATTTTTTAATTCTAATAACTATTGGTTTATGCTATTTTGCTGACTGTTTAAATTCAATGAATTCTTCAAACTGTTTATCAAAACATTATCATTATCATTATACGCGATTGTTAAACTATTTTTTAATTTATTTTGAATATTTATTTTAAGATAATTTTAGTCATTAATTTCATTTTTTTTAAATAGGCATTCATTTTTTTTAGTCTCATTAATTAATTTAGATTAAAATTTCGAATTTTAATCCAAATGACTACTAAATCCTTTTTTTAAAGATATGTTGTTTAAATATTATAAATGAGATTTTGGTGTGAATTTACTTTTCTATTTATTATTTATTTAACTTTTATTAAATATATTAATATCTATATTTGAGTTATTCATTTTTATTATTAATATTTTAAAAAATATTTAATTATTTTTTATAATTAGTATTATTTGTTTAAAAATAATTTTGAATATTTAATTATTTTTATTATTGTATAATTTCGATATTTTAACATATGGATAAAAAATTAATTAATCAATATTTACAATAAAATAATATGATATTTAATTGAATAGTTTAACATTTATATAATATTATAAAATGTCTAAAAAATTTTATTTTTAAAAAATAATTATTTTTAATAATTACGAATATACTAAAAAAATTAAAAAATTTACTATAAAAATTATTCTACAAGATAAAACAAAATAAAAGTTATATAATTATATATATTTTATCATAGAAAATATTCAGGTATATTTTTTTTTGCAATTATACCTTTGTTATCCTTTTTTTATAATTAAAAATATAAATAATTAATGAAAACAGAAAAAATAGGCATACCTATTCAGCTGCTTCGAAAGTTTTAAATGTCTTCTATAGATTTTCATCTAATTCTAATATAGCTGCAATATTTCCACATCTATAACAATAGTTAGGAGCAGACCATACAGTAGAAAGTTAATCATTAAACATATTTTTGAATCCATCCATAATCAACTAATGTGACCTAGTAATTAATTCCACATTATTATGTCTATTAAATTCTTCAACAACATCTTACCCAAATAAATATCCAGCGCCTCTAGGACTTACAGCCCAACCTTCGATTTCTAAAAATTAAAAATAATTAAATAAAATATCAACTTAAAAACATATAAAAAACAATTAAAACAAAAAAAACAAAAAACAAAAAACAAAAAATATAAATAAAATATGTGTACTTATTTACCATCTGGATCGCTCCACATTAAATCACACATAGCTCCATCATGAGGTACTTCTTATTTTCTATCAATAACTATAATCTATAAAATAATAAAAAAAAAATATTAATCAAAAAAAATATATATGTCTATATACATCATCCAAAGTTTTTATTAAAGGTGAAAGTCCTCCATGGACACTATAAAATTTATCTTCTATAATTGCTGAAAGAGATAAATAATCAAAAATTTCAGTACAATATCTCCAAACATTTAAAGAACCAAATTTTCTAAGACATTCATCATAAAAACCATAAACTTAAGTTATTTATCTACTTTCATGATTTCCACGGACTAATGTCATTCTATCTGGATATCTAACCTTTTTATTTTTTATTTTTTATTGATATATTAAATAAAGTACTTTTAATGCTAGTAATAATAAAAATGTTTCTACTGAATGATAACCTCTATCTACAAAATCCCCCAAAAATAAATAATTTGTATCTGGACATTCTCCTCCAACTGTAAAAAGTTCTATTAGATCATAAAATTAACCATGAATATCTCCACATATCTTTTTTATTTACTTGCTTTATTTTTTTTTATTTTTTTATTTACTGTAACAGGTGCATCTACTCTTTGTACATTACTTTCTTCGACTAATATTTCTCTCGCTTTATTGCATAAAATTTTTACTTCACTTTCTTTTATATACTCACATTTTTTCAATGTTTCTATTATTTAATCTAAATCAGTTACATTTGCCATTATATGATTGTTAAAATATTTTATTTTGTTTTTTAATAAATGTTATAATTTATAATTTAATTATATTTTCTTTACAAATTTTATTTTTATTTATTTAAATTTGTTTTATATATTAATAATGAAATTATAAAATATGAATTATTATAAATAAAATTTAAAAAAAATATTATTAGATAAATAAATATTTAAAAATTTCTCAAAATATGAATTAAAAATTTAATTAATTTAAAGTTCAATAAAAATTAAAAATAATATAAATTATAGTAAATTATTTATTTTGAGATTATAATTTTTTTTTATGTATTATTTTTTTATATTTTCTATAATTTATTTTATATACTCAATATACTAAAAAAAAGGAAATTATCTATTTTTTATCGCTTTTTTTATTAATTTTTTTTAAAAAATATAAATATATTAATACATATAATATACAGTTTTAAATATTGTTGATATTTTATTAATATATTATGATTTAAATATATTGTTTAATAATAAACTCATAATTTATATAATTATATATTTTAAAAAATAAATTATATTTATTTTAGATTTAATAGATATAATATATATATTTTCTTTTTAATATAATAAATATATAAAACAATTTTAATTCTTAATAATTTAATTTTAATATAAATAATAATAAAAAATATAAGACATATTGATTATTATATTGGTAATGTAATAATTTAATTTTAATATTATATATATATATTAAATAAATAATATAAGATATATTACTTATATATTTTTTTTTTAATACAATTAACAAAATATTGATGTTAAAAATTGGTAAAAAACTTTTTTAATTATTTTATTTAAGAAAAAATTATATTATTATATAAAAAATAAAAAAATAAATATAAGTAATATAAAATACAATTGTTAATTTATATTTATATATAATTTTTTTTTAGTATTATTTATATATTTTTTTCTAACAATATTTTTAAAATTTCTTTTAAAATTTAAAATTTTATCTTTTTTTAATTTCTGTAACTATGTATTTTCATCATATTCAAAATAATAAAGGTATTAAAAACAAGAAATAAAAAGATCATTAATAAAAAAATCTATTTTTTATTTAAATAATCTCAAATTATAATATTATTCATAATTTCGATTTTTTCCAAAGCCATTATATATAATAATTACTTATATATGTACAGTTGTATAAGAGTATATATATTACCCAAGTCTAATTTAATATTAATAATGTCAATTCTACATCCATTAATGATTAAGAATTTCATCCACAGAAATTCTCTAATTAGGATTAAAATAAACCATTTTAGTAAAAATATCGATAAAAGATTCAGTTAAGCACTCACTTCTTCCTTGTATAAGTCTTCTGATATTTTTCCAATATATTTAATTTTAAGAAGCAAATATTCCATATGAAGTTGTATTATGCATAAACGGCAAATTCTTTGTGCAAATTGCAAAAAGGAGAACTCCAGCTGCAAAAAGGTCAGCATGTATGGGAAGATAAGGTTTTCTCATGTAAACTTCAGGTAAAATATATCCAGGAGTTCCGATGTTGAATTCTCTGATTTCTTAATTTTGGCTTCCATATTCTAAACTTAGACCAAAATCTCCTAAAACAACATCCAAATTTTCGTCCAAAAAAATATTTTCAGGTTTAATATCAAGATGGGCAATTCTATTTTCATGTAAATAGTTAATTGCAGCAATTATTTGTTTGATTATTTTCTTTATTAAGTTATTATTCAAAGGATAGTTTTCATTTATAAAATCTAAAAGACAACCATTTTCATAATACTTAGTTATTATAACTTTTATACCTTTAAAATCAAAATTTTAAGTCGAACAGACTATATGTTAACAAAAAGGCATACTTTAAACTAACTTTAAAAATTAAGTTTCTCTTTTATAGGATGAATTTGATTATATAGTATCTTTAAAAACTTTTATTGCATATTATTTTTTATTTAAAGTAAATTCTCCTAAATATACATTTGCAAATGAACCTTCACCAAGTTTTTTTTTCAAGATATAATTTTTCATATTTAAAACATCATCTTCAAAAAAATGATTTAAATTTCCTAAGCTTTTTTATTCACAAATTTAATTTTTAATTGTCAACATTTTATTTTAATACTAAGTTTAGATTTTTTAATTTAGTTTTTTTTCTTTTAATTAATGATTTTTATTAATAAAAATAAAGACGATAGGTAAATATTGTTATTTTTATTTATTTATTTTAATTATTGTATTTTTTATTTTTTTAAATTTATATTGAAAATAATAATATTTTTTATTCTGATAAAATAGATTTTATTAAATATATAAGAATTATTATATTCAAAAATATTTTATTTTCTAAAAAATATATTAAATTAAGCATGTTCTTTTTTAATTAGATATAATACGCATTTTATAAAGTTAATAAAGAGAATAAATCAAAATATTATATAAATGTAAATGTTTTTTTTAAATATATAATTAAAATAAGAGTCTATTATAAAAATTACAAATTTTAATATATGTTTAAAATTATAATAATAAAAATCTATATATAATTTTTATATTTAATAAAATTTTTTTTAAGAAAATACAATATAAAATATAAACTCATTAAATATTAAAAGAAAATTCATACTAAATATTTTTAATAAATATATTAAATGTATTATAATGTTTATTTTTAAAATAAATTTGTTAATTTTTTTTTTTAATTTAATCTAAAATATAAAAAACAAATTAGAGTAATGAAATAATAAAAAAATATTAATTAATTAATGTAAATCAATAATCTCCAACATTAATTTTTTCTTTTTACTTTGTACTTTTCTTTTATATTTTAAGTTTTTATTTAAATTATTTTTACTATTATTTTTTTATAAAAGATTTAGCCTTTTCAACTAAATTTTATTCATCAATTTATATATTTTTCAAATCTTTCTAAAGATCAGCATTATTTTTGAAATTCTTTTTTTTCTTTTCTTTTTTTTACTTTTTTTCTTCTTCATCATCTGAAAAAAGTTCTTAATTTTATTCTTATAAATTCTATATATCATTTGGTGAAATATCTGATAAATTGCTTAAAGAATTTAAATCATAATCTACTTTTTGATTCACATCATTTTAATTTTAGACTTTTTTATTTTTGTCTTATTTATTATATTTACTATATAAATCTTTTATATCATTAGTATGTTCTTATTTATTATTTTCGTCATAAACGATTTCTTCTTAATCTTCTTCGTTTTCTTACTGATTATTATCACTAGATTCTTATCTAATTTCATTCTAATTTTCTTCATCTTCACTTTAATTATCAAATTCATCATCATCATCACCTTCACTATCACTTTCTCTTAAGTCAATGTCAAAGTCATCGATATTTTTTATTTCTTTTTTAACAAATCCAGATGCCTTAACTTAAATATCAAGATCATTAATCCTATTTATTTTACTAAAATCCAAAGTATATTAAGATTAATAATAAAATCTCCTTTCGAAAAATACATGAATACATTCAACATCTCTATTAAAGTAAAATTCTGCATTTTTATGCTTTGTACTTACCATTTAAGGAAAATCTATCATTACTATTTCTTCATTTTATTTAATCATTAGATTAAATTCGTTGAAATCTGAATGAATTAAACCACACTTTTTATTTTAATATTAATAAAAAAAAATTATTTGTAATTTACTTCTGCTAATCTTTTAATTTAATCCATACATTATTCAAATACTTTTTAAGGTTCATTTAATTATGCTACATTTTGTAAATTACAACCTTCTACTAAACTCATTACTATTCCATGTCTATTTTAATCGATAGGAACTGGTGTTGGGAATTTGTTCTTTTTATATATTTTTAAATCAAAAAAAAATACAGTTTTCTTTTATTACTTTGTAAAGTAGATCCATAAACGAAAATTCTTTTATTGCAGAAAGCCTTGAAAGATAAAGCCAACTATAACTAGTTCTGTGTTAAATGTAATCTCTGTTCTTTTTTATTGTTTTAAATGATGTTCTTCCTAATCTTGTAAATTTCAAAATTACAAAATCTCCATTTTCATTTGTGCATTTATAAATATCAGATTCTTTTCCACAACCTACTTTCCCAATAACATCTTTAATATGTCCTCTTCTCATAAATACCTATATGATAAAAACAAAATATTTTAAATAATATATGTATATATTACTTATAAAGCTAAATAATCGTATCCAAGATATGTTAATTTATAACCGTCATCTATTAATTAATTTATTAAAAAAAAAAAATATTACTAAATTTTTTTACATTGCTTGTTTTAATGGAATACCAATTTGTTTTTTAATACCGATTTTATAACTTTACTCGTGCATCCACGCTTTAAGTGAGATATTCTTTCAATTAAATTAAGTGGCACAAACTAATCAATATATATATATATATATATATATGATTTTTGATATTATAGAATTAAAAACCTCGTGATTTCTCATACCTATTTCAATTGCTGTTAAAATACGAAACTCATCTTTAGACATATATTATAAATACTTTTTAATTTCATTTATTTAATTAAGTTAATTTATATTTTTTTTATACTGATGGGTCTAATTTCATGTTTTCTTTAGTTTACTTCTATTTATTTTTATTATTATTTTAATTTTGTATAAATTATTTAGTTTTTAATTTTGTATTATTTTATAAAAAACATAAATATATTTATATTATTTTAAATTTATAAATATTTATTTAAAACAAACATTAATAAAATAGCCGAATAAATTAAAAACATTAATATTAATAGAATAATAATTTATTTTATTAAAACAACCATAAATATATTATAAAAAAAATTCATTAATGTCTATTTTTTAAACTTAATCAAAAAATACAATAATTGAATATTAAAACCCACTTTTAATAGAAAAATAAAAATTAGTAAGTGAATTTAATAGATAATATATATAAAGTAATGGATATAATACAATAAATTATCCAGACCGTTCCTTTTATATAGGCTAAATATCTTAAAATAATATAAGGGAGGGAAAAGGAATACATACGTAAAATCATATTTTATATAAAAAATTATATATTTAACAAAAATAATAAATAATTTATTAGATATTCTAATTAAGACTTATATTTAGGAGATTGGAAAAACGACCAATAAAATGGAAATGGGGTTTATATATTTTGTAATGGCGAAAGATATGAAGGATAAGTTTTAAATGGAAGGAAGAATGGTCGTGGAACGTATGTAAAATATATAAAAGCAATATTAAACTTATAAAAAAAAAAATCCTAACTTAAAAAATATAAATTTAGTTATTATTATGCTAATGGAAACATTTACTAAGGAAACTGGCATAATGATTTGAAAGAAGGTTATGGTGTATATAATTATAGTATTATAGGAGAAAAATATGAAGGTGAATGGAAAAAAGGGGAAAGAGATGGAAAAGGTATTTATTATTATTCATAAGGTAATAAATACGAAGGAGGGTAATTATTTTAATAAAATAAATTAAAAAAATTATTAAAAAAAAGATGGAAAAAAGGTAAAAAATTTGGTTTTGGGATTATTAATTATATAGACGGAAGCAAATTCGAAGGAAACTTTTCAGATGATTTAGCGAATGGAAAAGGAATAATGCATTATCCTGATAATAAAAAATATGATGGTGAGGTATAAAAATATTTTTTTTAATAAAAATAATATTTTATCATTATATAAAAATTTAGTGGGTAAATGGATGTAGACATGGCATAGGAATTTTATATCTCTAAGATGGTGGAAAATATGAAGGAAATTGGAAAAACGATTAATAAGATGGAATAGGTTTATTTTTGATGGGAAATGGAGATAGATATTAAGGCGAATTTAATGATGGTTAAAGACACGGAAAAGGAATTTGCTATTATAAAAATGGAGATAGATACGAAGGATAATGGGAGTTTGATCAAATAAATGGATTTGGCACTTTTAACATGGTCAATGGAGATAAATATTAAGGTAAATGGTTAAATGGGGAAAAACATGGATAAGGTTTATATGAATTCTAAAATAAAGATTTTTATAATGGATTATGGGTTAATGGCGAAAGAAATGGATAAGGTTTTTATTAATGGAATAATGGATAAACTTATAATGGAGAATGGAAAGATGATTAAATTAATGGATATGGAAAAATTACTTAAGCTGATGGAAATTGTATTTAAGGCTATTTTAAAGACAACGTGGCACCTGTTTGAATGACTATTTTTTCTGCTAAAAATTCTAATATTTTTATGATAATTTAATAACTATTATTTTATTTATTATTTTTAGTTTCGATGACTTTTGTTTTGTTTTTTTTATTACTTTTAACTTTTATTTACTAATTTTATTTAATTATTTATTATTAAAATTTTATTATTACAATCATTTGTTTATTTCAAAAATAAAAAAATACCTTTAAAACCATTATTAATTAACTAATATAATTTCGGAATATTAAAATATTAAAAAAATCTAGTGGTTTAATAAAAAATGGGAAACTGTACAACAAAAAATTAAAACATTAGCGATTAAAGTAAATTATTTTTTAATATGTTCAAAAAAAAGATTATAAATATAATTTAAATTTATATTATATTTATTTTTATTTTTTAAAATTAAATATCAAGAACTATCTATTAAAAATATTTAATTTTTATTTGTAATTGGAAAAGGTGGTTTTGGTAAAGTAATAATAAAAATATAACTAAAATAAAACTTAAATCAATATTAAATATATATAAATAAAAAAAATACTTGTGAAACAGGTATGGAAGATTGAAATGAAAAAAAATAGAAGAGAATATGCATTAAAAGAGATGAGTAAAGCAAAGTAAAAAAAAAATATATTGATAAATAATTAAAATTAAAATTAGAATTATTTCAAAAAAAAGTATAAATTCAATAATGAATGAACGCCTATTATTATCAACACTTAATCATCCGTATATAAAAAAAAATATTAACTTGAAAAAAAAAATGAAAATTTTTATTTAAACTATTTTAATTTACTTTAAAAACAAATAGATTTATAATAAATATGATGTTTGCATTTTAAGATAAATCAAATTTATATTTAGTAATGGATTTATTAGAAGGCGGTGATTTACGTTATCATTTATGTCGTTATCGTTAATTTAACGAATAATAAACAAGTAAAAAAGAAGAAATAAAAAACTAAAAATAATAAAAAATTAGAATTTATAGCAGCTTGTATAATAATAGGATTAGAGTATTTACATTCAAATGTGATATTACATCGAGATATAAAACCAGAAAATATATTATTTGATTTAAAGGGTTATATAAGGATAACAGATTTTGGAATAGCAAGATAATGGAAGCCTGAAAATTAATAGGATACAAGTGGAACTCCTGGTTATATGGGTATTTTAAAATATTAAATTATATATAAACATAATTAAATTTAACAAAAAGCTCCCGAAGTTATGTGTAGATAAAATCATGGAATTTCAGCAGACTACTTTGCTTTAGGAGTAATAGTTTACGAAACTATGCTTGGAAAAAGGCCATATATAGGAAAAACAAGATAAGAAATAAGAGATTAAATTTTAGCAAAATAAGTGTAGATAAAACATGATGAGATGCCTGAAGGATGGAGTTTAGAAGCCGCGGATTTTGTTAACAGAGTATTTTTTTATTAACAAATTTATTATTTTCATTTATGTTAAGCTTATTTAAAGGAAATCAATTAATAGATTAGGCTCTAAAGGTCCTTAAGAAGTAAAAAACCACATTTGGTTTAAAGACTATCCTTGGGAAAAACATTTTAATAAAGAAATAGTAGCGCCATTTATTCCTCCAGTAAACATTAAAACTTAAATATTAATTTTTTATAATGTTTTATTATTTATTCTGTAATTTAAAAGACAATTTAAAAAAGAAAAAAAATACGAAAAAAAAAAAATAATAATGGTTTTTTTTTTTTAAAAAAAATATATTTTTTTAAAAAAAATACAAATTAATTAAAATAATTTATAAAAATATAATATTTTATTTATAAAAATTAAAAATAGAATTAAGAGAATAATTTTTATATATATGAAGATAGAAATAATACTGATAATAATTAAATAATATAAAACTAGATACTTTTAAGAAGAAACTCAATTTAAAGTTTTTATATTTTTTTAAATATGTTTTTTTTAATAAAATTTTTATTTTATTATTCGTAGATTTATTTGATGGATATACTTATGATAATACAAATAGTAAAGAATAATATACATGTTTATAATAATAAAATTTAAGTATTAATTATAATAATTAAATTCACTTTAGCTAAAATTAAGGATTAGTGTTAAACTCTGTTTAAAATTCAAAATAATGAGTAATTAATAATATTATATTTTTTTAATAAAATATAATATTACAAATAAATAAAAAAAAATATATTATAAAATGATATAATGTGTATAAATATATAAATATTATTATTATAAACTTAATCTAAAATTATATTTTTTTATAATATTTTCTTTTTTTTAATAATAATATAAACTAAATATTTTTCATAAATTTTTATTGTCTTTATTATCTTCTTCTTTATATTAGTAATTATTATTTTCAAATAAATAATCTTTATTTTATAAACTATGAATTAATTATTCTTAAGATTATAGATTCGATTATTTATCTACTTATTCATATAATTGATTTTTACTCTATTGTAATTTTAATTAGTATTATGCTTATTAGAGCATAAAAATGTTATAATCTTAATTTTTGTTAGTTTAATTTTAAATTTATTATTTAACTGTGGTTGAATTTAATAACATGTTATTAATACATGATTATAAACTTGATTAAACAATATATTATTAATCCTATAGATAATTCTATTTAAAACTAATTTAATCAGTAATCGATTATTATTATTATTATTAATATTATTATTAATTATTAATATAAAATTTTTATTTTATTATTATTATATTTATTATTTTATTATTATAATTAATATGAATTTAATATATGATTTATGATAATAAAATATTATTATTATTATTAATAAAATAATAAAATATCCTTTTAAATATCTTTATAATGATATAAAAATTATTATTATAAAAAGTATATTCAAGAAATGGAATAAAAATTCATCTTTTAAATAAAAAAAATAATTATTAACTTATTAATTTTATAAGTTATTAATATTCAATTAAAAAATATTATTTTTATTATTATTATTATATTATATTAAATTATCATTTTTATTATCAATTTTATTATATTCATTTTTATTATCAATTTTATTACTTTTTTTTTATTATTATTATTATTATTATTATTATTATTATTATTATTATTATTATTACTATCTTTATTATTATCTTTTTCATTATCTTTATTATAATCTTTATTATTATCTTTATTATTATCTTTATTATTATCATTATTTTAGTTACTAGTTCTTCTATTTTATTTTTCTATATTATTTATTTATTATATATATTTTGTTGTGCTTTTACAATTTTCAATATTTTAATTATTTTTTTGAAATATTTTTTATAAATTCAATTTTTTATTAAATAATGGCATATAATTTATTAGAATTTCTTTTTCATCTAAAATATTTATATTAGAAACCATTGATATTTTTTATATATATTCTTAAAATAATATATTTTTTTAGTATCCATTCTTTATATTTAATTATTCTTTTTCATTATTTTGAACTGCTTCGCTTTATTTTTTTTCAATTTCAATAAAAATAATAATTTATTTTTAATGTTTTGTATATTTTTATAATTATTCTTTTTCTTATTCTAATTATTATCCTGTACTTAACATTAATTTAAAATGACTATTTTAATAACCACTTAATTATGGATGATTTTACAAAATAAATGTTTTTAACTTTGTTAAATTCCATATAACAGGAACTTAGATTTCCATATCTTAGATATTATTATTTATGCTTCTAATAATAATTTTTATAGTCATTTTTTTTTTTTTATATATTTTTTTTTTCCTCTTTTTTATCTCAAAATAAAAATATCAAAATTAATTATAAATACAAATAATTATTTATATTATATTATATAAAAATTATATAATTTAAAATAAAACGAGTAACGAATAATTATTGTAATAAATTTCATAGGAAACATAAAAACCTAATCTTGATATACTAGATTAATCGTTTCCTTTACTTTCTACTAAATCTCGATTCGAAGGTGAAGTTTTTACACAAGGGTCTACGGATCCAATAGATAACTCCAAAAATATAAACCAAAATAATATATAAGAAATATAAGTAAAAGAAAGTGCCATACATGATAATAAACTTAAAAATGAGAGTATACCGAAAATCGAGAGCATATAACAAAGGCAATCTCCGATTGTATAAAAATATAAACTGCTATTTAAAGCAGAAGAGGAGAATAAATAAATAGACAAGTCAGTTAACAATAATAGATAAAAAAGTATTGAAAAAGGGAATACAATATTAAGTTTATAAAATAAGAATTTACGTAAATAATTAGAAGAAGAGAAATTAAAAACAATTGAAAAAAATTTACTAATAGAAAATTTAGGATTAAAAACAGAAAAAGAAAAAGAATAATTTGAAAAAATAATAGAGTTTATTTTATCTTTTGAATTTCCAAATAATTGGAAAAAGGAGTTAATGCCTGATTCTATTTGTTATTATAATTTAGAAGATTAGTTTTCTACATAGATTCATCCTTTTTTAAAATATTAAAATATATTCTGTTTATAAGAATAAAATTAATTATAAATATTCAGTTAATCGAAATATACTAAAGAAGATATTCAGAAATTATAAAATTAAAAAAGCAAAAACAAAATTCTTTAATTCATATAACTTTATTAAGAAAGTTTAAGTAATAATTCAAAAAAAGAAATTTCTTCGAGCAAAAACACAAATTCTCAGCCAAAAAATATATACAAATTAGGTCATAACTAAAGCATTATAAGTTAAAATTCTCTAAAGAATACTAATTCCTAAAAAACTATAAATTCTTAAAATGACACGAATTAAAATTTAAGTAATTCTAACTTAAAAATGTCTAAAGATAAATTACCTCCTGAAGATAATATTAATAATCTTGCGAAAATTACAAAAAATAATAATAGTATTAATAATAATAATATTAGTATTATTAATAATGATGTTAATTTTTAATCAAAAAAGATAGTAGTACCTAATAATAATGATTTCCTTTTGTACGAATAAGGTTCTTAAGGAAAATTAAGGTTCAAATAATTATTAAAATAATTAGAAATATAAAAAATGGAAATTTAATCAAATGACTATAATAATAAGAAAGACATTTAGTTATTAATATAAGAACACGAAATTAATTAATCAACAAAATATTACATAGAAAAATACTAAAAATATTCCTTAGAAAGACTTCATAATAAAATGTGCCAATAATAAAATTATTTAAGGGCAAACCCAGAAGAAATAGCAAAATAAATAATCGAATTAAACGTTATTTAAAATCCAAATTTATATTTTTAGCCAGAATTTGTATTTGTATGAAATTGCCTTATTTCTGGAGAGAGTTTTATGATCAGAAAACTCAATAAAAAATCTACTAGAATTAACTTTCAAATAGTCTTTTGTTAAATCATCCTGCTACTTTTTATATTAGAATTATTATATAATAAATCATGTAAGATTCTAAATTATTATTATAATTACCTTAATATATTTTAGATGGGTAAAATATGAATTTTTTAGATATTTTAAATAGAAAATATTCTATTGATATGCAATAAAAAGTATATCAAATTCTAAAATGCTATGATAAGCATGAAGATATTCGAAATTCGTTTATTAAATAAAATCTATAAAGATATAATTAACAAGATGATATTTAAACACGAAAAAGCTTAATAAATAATAAGGATATGGATGATAATATTGTAGTGTTTTCATAAATACAAAATGAAAGTTTTTATTAAAATAAATAAAAGCATAAAAAAAAAAATTCTAACCTAAATGATAATCATATATTTGTTTTATGCAATGAATTTAATATTAAACTTCCAGAAGAAGCTCATTTGATTTCTATTTTAGTGGAATTTTTGCAACAACAAGAAAAATAAGAAAATAAAAATTCTGATTAATAATGGAGATTTAGAATTACAGATAAAGGAGAAGTGTATTGGTTTAATTAGGCAAAGTAGAAAGCTTAATCTAACTATCCTTTATATGAATAATTAAAAAATATATTAGAATTATATAAAAAATGTATAGAGAAAGAAATAAAAAAAAGAGTTTTGGATAAAGAATATATAAATTTGTTAGATTTTTTCTAAATATCAGAGAGTGATTCAGAAGAAAATAAAGAAATTATAAAATATATTTAAAAAGAATCAAAAGAATTTGTAAAAGAATATTTAACGTAAATTTAAGAAGAGAAAAAAAGAAAAAAAAAAGAAGAAGATGCTTTCTATAGTTTAAAATATATTAATTAATATCTAAAAAAAGATGAATTATTTCATAATGATGAGTTCTTAAAAAATAATATTTTGTTTAAATGGCCTTTTAAATTTGAAAAAAAAAACAATGAGAAAAATAAAAAAGAATTAAATGATGTTAAAAGTGTAAAAACAAAATAAAAGTTTAAAATTCACAAAGATAGTAAACAATAAAGTTTTATTAATCAAAATACTACTTCTGTTTAATTTATTGATGAGGATTTAAATAAATAAAATAATTTCAATATAAATTTTAATTTCGATAGTAGCTCCTTCTCAAGTAATGATGAGGAAAATTAAGCACTTATTGATTATAAAGTTGTTAATAATAATATTTTAAATAAAATAAGTAGAAAAGAAAGTATACAAGAATAATTAAAGTAAGTAAAGTTTACTGAAAAAACAAAAAATTTGGAAGAAAATAATAAAAAAGACATTTTATTTATTAAATCATAAAGTCTTCATAAAATAATAGAAAATTCTTAAAAAAAAGATACAAATATATATAATAAAGAAATTCAAGATAAAGTAAATATATAATTTAATTTTTAATTTAGAAAAAAAAAAAGGATTATATAGAAAATGAAAAAGAAGATTTAATAAATAATTTAAATTTAGAAAATAAAAAAGAAGATTTAATAAATAAAGATAATATAGAAAATAAAAAAGAAGATTTAATAAATAATTTAAATATATAAAACAAAAAAGAAGATTCAATAAATAAAGAAAATTTAGTAAACAAAAAAGAAGATTCAATAAACAAAGAAAATTTAGAAAATAAAAAAGAAAATTCAATAAACAAAGAAAATTTAGAAAATAAAAAAGAAGATTAAATAAATAAAGAAAATAAAAAAGAAGATTAAATAAATAAAGAAAATTTAGAAAAAAATGTAGTCTTTGAAAAAATATAAAACTTATCAAATCAAATATAAGAAACGGAATAAAAGTAGACTTTAAAAAAAAATAATATGAAGATATTGAAATCAGTTTTTTAATTATTTAATTTTTATTTGTAAACTAAAAATAATCATAAACAATAAAAAAAGTAAAAAGAATTATTAGAATAATAAAATTAGGAGCAAATAAATTAAATCTAAAATTAAGCTTAAAATGTTTAAATACTTTGCAAAAAAAATAAGTATTATAAAAATAGATTAACGATAAACTAATGTAAATAAGTAATAATAATTATTTTATTAAAATTCTTTTACATTAATTTTAAAGTAAAAGTATTGATAAAAAAATAATCCTGTTTAAGAAAAGGTTCCTGTTTAAGAAAAGGTTAAATTTATCTTTAAAAAGACTTCTA